CGCTGTACCTCTATTAGAGGAATCTCCTATTCTATCTTTCTTCCCTGTGTATTTCGTTTGTCTACTTTTTACACTGTAAAGCGTCAATCAGTAGCATTGGTGCATATTATATCTGTTGTTTCGGCCCCAATTCTACCACTGACACAATAAAAAAGACGGTTATTTTGAGACAATTCAAGTCTAACACATCAGTACTTTAAGCGTAAGTGGGAGGCGTACGCATAGATTCGTATCCAAACACTCTGTTTTTCCGCCTTACAATACAAATTAAAATGTGTATTTGTTCGTTGCTTTTGTTATCACCCCTGTACAAACTGTTGCTACCCGTGTCAGTAAACTCGGTAATACATCATTGGCTTGAGACCGTGATCCGACAAACGATCAGGATCTAAGCAATTCTTCCAACCACCTTGCGTTTCTCGGGGAGCGTTCAACTTTTCTGGAGCATGCACATTTGCGCTTGTATATATTTAGTCTTCAGCCTTCAACTTTCCAGGAATTATTCAATATCAGTACATTAAAATGCGCCACGATTTGAGACGAACGAACATGTTGTTAAAAAAAAAAGATCCGGATAGCGACTGCCATTTCTCCTTCTTCTCGACCATCATCCTTGTAGTTTCGCAGCTCTATGAATCTATGCAGTCTATTCACAAGAGTGCTCTCGTATCTGGAAGAACCACATACCTTTGTTTTACGCCGCCATTTCTGTGGTTGCTTACAAATGAGAATACAGTCGTAAGCGGAGGAGATGAGATGGCTCGGTTGTTGCGCGCTTAATACAATTTACTGATGAAGAATCATATATCCGTAAGTAAAATCACGCGTATAATAAAATTATTGCATCGTTTACTCACACATTCTTTAACACCTCGTGCCACGCCAACTCTTACCAACAAAAGTAAGCTGACTGATGCAATTGGCAATTTGCATTGTATATGTGTATATGTGTATAGCACGATGTGCCACATAGATTATTCATGCAGGTTACGCGACAGAGATAATGCGAGGATGATAACTAAAATGATAAAAGGGTCATTCTTCGCCTGTAAGCGCGAGGGAGAAGTAACGCAAGCTCAATCGCCATTGACAAGGTGGAATCCGTTTACGAAAGACGAATGGTCAAGAGGAAAGGGGTACTTTTTGAAACCGGAGAATAGCGGGAAAAAAGGCATCCTACTTGCGTTATAAAATATCGTATAAGCCCTTTTTAAACCAAGCTTTGACAATGCGAATCCGCAGCAGTCAGTCAAGCTTGAAGTCAAGCGTGTTTCAATTGCTGCCGTTGGTGGTCATTTGTTTCAAACGGATCTTGCATCACAGAAAAGAAAAACACAGACGCAACCTCGTTTTTTTACTTTTAAGAACATTAGCAGGGTCCGTGCGTAGAGAGCACGGTGTCAAAGAGTTGCCACCGCTTTATATGCACTTGAAAAAGATCCTAAGTCTTAATCAGTACATTCACAAACAAAGTACAAAAGTACATCACAAGGTCGATCAATACGCGAGAGATCTTTCTTTGTGAAATGGGATGGCATTACCCAACGATAGATTAAGTTTCCGTTATAATAATAGTCAAACATAGAAAGCTTCTCTTGTTGATTATTATCTTTTTGTCATTTTCTTATTGTATTTTAAAGAGAAACCCTCTTTTCTAGGAAGTTCCAATAGAAAAAGAGGGGAAAAACTCCTGCTGTCTCTTTTTTCCAGGAAGACAACAAAACCTGATCGAAGACGCAGGTAGTGAATGGTCGCTACGCAATGAGAGACCTTCGCCATTCACTAGTGGCGCCCGTGCCGTGTGTGCCCACAACGTCAACTAAGCACAAAGATGCCTCAAGGTTGTTGTACTACGTTGGTGCAGCCCTAGGGCATGCTTCCAACAACCTTGCTACCATTGAAGCATCTTTCGGGTAGAATATATCCACCTCAACCTGGCTAATAGCTTTCCAAGTCAAGGATTCACACAACACTTTGCGCTTCATAAAGTTTGTGTAAATGGAACTGGAGAAGAAAAAAAATGGGAGGGGTGGGGGGTTTTTTGGTATTCTTATCCAGACAATTTTTTGCCGTCACGCTCGGGTCTTCAATGAAATCCATCATGTTGATTGGCTCTCATTTGTAAGGCTCTGGTTGGCTCATTTTATGGACCGCTTATATCATATGACGCAACTTGACCCAAAAGCAAAGGGAAGGCGAAGGAGATGTGTAAGTGATAGTCGTCGTGAAGAAGTCAAATACGCTACAGCAGCAGTGATCGACATGCTATGTATGTTTCACCATGCCGATGTACCCTCCGATACTGTCGCCGCTTATTTTGGAAAGAAGTGTCAGTACACGCACCCGGCCTCCGCGTCAAATACAGGTACATTTCGAATATCAACTTGTTCAATGAGTACGCAAGAAAAAAAGAAGATGCGACTGAACAACTCAATTAGAAATGACAAGGAAGAAAGACAGAATGCCAACGATGATTAAGAACGACGGATGAGTGCTCGTGTGCGATCTGGGAAGCAGTAACTGCTAAATTGCCAAGGACTCGCATCATTTGCCCTGGCGGACCAGATATCTACCAGTGATAATGCGGGTTCTGTTCGACCCATGGAGTATTCTGTTGAAAGTTCGCTCGACCCAGTTCCATTCCACTTTTTTATAGGTTGCTGATTTGTTATGTATACGGTGGCGAAGGTGTGGCAAGCTCCTTTTGCGGAGACATGCGCAGCTAGCAAATCGGGCGGACACTTTGTTATTGCGATTGGGTAGTAGCGCTGTCAAACTAGATGACGAGGACTGGTAATGTGTCATTCTATCAGGACCTTTCAATTCTACGATGTTTGGTTCTCCTGTTAGACTTTGCACTGCATTCTCTTTTAAACCCGCCTCGTTTTTACACTTCTTGAGGCTTGGATGAATAAAATTTTTAAAAGTTAAAACAGCGCAAACTCCTCGTTGTTGATACATCCTGTAGTTACTGGAAGTATTCCAATTAGACAATTGTCAAGAGCTCTACTAAATAAAACATATTACCAAAGTTGTTGACTAAACTCTTCTTTATCCGGATACACAAAGCTGTCTGTTCTCTCAAATTGTGAAACACAAGTGAATGCTTAATAAAAGGCAGCAACCGATGGTAGCGACTGTATATCTACGCACTCATTATTCCCTGGATTGCGATCGCCTAATATGGTGCTCCCGGCGTTCAAGCTATACAAGTTTTGGGGTACTCTCGTTTAAAAATAAGCAGCTTTCTTATGCAGCGTGTTAAGCAAGCCTCATAAAGAAGGATGATCACTGTGAGGTGAAGAAATCATGGGTGGAGTGAACCGGAAAAGGAAAATTTCGTTGAGATGCTTTGGGCAGATCAGAGCAACTACGAAAAGGAAGCAGGATACAGAAAGCGCGTTGTTCTTCTTCTCTTCTTTTCTTACGATGAATCATCATACGATAAACACCAAAGAGTATAGGCTATAATAACTTCGACAATCATATTCACTGCTCCTTATGAGAGCAATTTGATGCACCCTTGGTAGCATTAACAAAATCCAAAAAGTAAGCTATTTTACATTGACACGTACGCTCACTGACCTGAACACGTCTATTCTGTCTGCTATGATAGACTTTTGTGGGGATAAACTAATAGACGGATCGCAGACATGCCGGATATCGAACATTTCCAAGATGAAGAAGATGAAAAAGGTGGATTTTGGATGCCATGATGATGGATGTTATCTTCCGAGTGAAAGGAGTTACTTTCGCCTTAAACAGTGTGTTCCTTGAAGCAGTGCCACCTTCGTGTGTTGAAATTGATTTTTGACAGGTGATAATTTGGTAAACCTAGGTATTTGGATCGAAAGGAAGTGTCGACTAATTACGAGAATAGAAGATTGTGAATACAACGGCTGGTTCTGATTATTCTCATTGTGATCGATGTTTGAGGGATTATTGATATTGATATGGTAGTGATTATGTATTGTCTATAGCAGCTCACTAGTGTGCGTCTTTTCTCTAATCGCATCATAGTAATTAATAAGACGGTGAGAAGTGGGATGAGTTTTCCGTACCGATTTTAAAAAGTCGTGTTGTTTACTACACACAGCTATCGTTTCTGTGTTATGTATATTTACTAAGAGAAGCCTTGTTACATGCTGCATCATGATAGTGCTATAATGCATATCTATATCTTTTTCATGCCTTTCTACGGACGATAGTATGCATGCATGGTTAATGTCTTGCTGCTGGTTGATGAGTTGCGCTTTTAGCGAGAGACTACTACTGTACCGTGCTACGAGTCATCACTAGATAAATGGAAACGGATAGAATCCTACATTTTAGAAACCACACTGGTATTACATAATGCTATACAGTACGCAGACTGCGTGTGAACAATGATAACGTTACCTTGCTGCAGTTTCATAATGATGCACCCGAGAGGTTTCCTACTAAATGTTTAGACGCGCGAACATTTTCTGCGCCATCTAACAACAGCAACATTAATACAAGTTGGGTTGAAAGAAAAAAGTATTGTGTACATGTGTCGTTTAGCCATTTTAACGTCCAGTTTGACAGTACGCCGGAACGAAAGAAGAGAAAAGACTAAACTGCTGGCATTTATTACTATAAAAAGTTACATAGAAAAGCGTGCGTGTGGTGTGGCAGCGAAAAATTAGTTATATACGTGCCTGGGTTCAAAATGTGCATTATCACCAATTTCGTGCCCTAGGTTTATTTACTGAGAACTCTGTGGTAGAGTTAAAAATCCGTCCTGCTACATTACATATAATATTACAGCTACGTCTATAGTGTTAGCAGCAGCAGCAGCAGCAGCAACGGATGGTATCACGGTATCATATGCTACTATCCACACATTTATATGACCAAACGATTCCCCAAACATCATCATCCACTGTTGGGAAAACTCCATTGAAATCCAGGAATTATGATTATTTCTGTTAAGCGACGATCCCTATTGGAGGGACAGATAGTTATTTCGGCGCTCATTATCAGCTATCGCCCACGGTATGCAATGCCGTTGAAAGCGATCCATAGACTAAGTCCTTCTTGACCTATTGGTAAAGGTGACATGAGCTTCGTGAACATTTCCGTACACTGACCGGATCAGTGGCTCAAACCAAAAACGTAGCCTTCAAACGTTCATTATACGGGAAATCCTACATGTTTTAAAGCAAACGCATGTAGTCCAAGAGCAAACACACATTACTATCCCTACCAACTTTAATTGATATGCCATCTTGCCACCAATCAATGCACCAGTCGTGAATAGGATTACTGCTGTAAGAAGTCTTGTAGTGAAGAAGCTACTCGTTCCCAACACACTTTTCTGTGGCATCTAGAGACAAGGCATAGTAAAAATAAGCGGATCGTAATTTATACCAAGAGGGACTATATATTAAGCTAAGTGGGACGTAATGCACAGTAAACGGTGCTCTTAACGTACAGAAAAAGCAACCGCAAAAGAGCAGGACTTTTCTCTCGGGGTTTATTATGACATCATTGATTCGGCAACGGCAAGAAGTGTGCAAAGAGCCGGTCAGAGACACAAGCCCACATGATGTGAATTTTGCTGTGAAAACAGGCAACAGTAGGGGTAAATTCGCTGCGTCTCTCTTTTTTTTTTTATTATCACATAACGAAGGCTCCGATCACGTACGCAAATAATCAAGGAAGCAAAGGTAGTCTAGGAATGAGGAATTCAGGAAGAGCGCAACACAGATCTTTCTTTTTTGGATAGTGACAAAGTTACGCGTGTGTCAAACCTTGAACGTTCCAACAGCTTTTCCCTGAAACGAAAACTATGCGCATTACGACACAGCGATTTGGCCAATTGACTTCGCACTCAAAATGCACAAAGGGATGGCGAGTGAAAAAGGTGATCAATGGAGCAACGAATTACGCGCAAAAGTGTCAAAAGCCAGAGGAAGTCATCGTTTGTAGTGTTATTCTTCTGATCGTCCCAGTGGATCTTGAACGCTGCTTTGAGAGAACGTAGAACCGCACAAAAACAAACGAACAGATTTACTATGTCAGCAGCAATGTAAAACACTGAAGGATGAGTCGATTTCACTAGCGGCAGCGGATACTTATTTATGAGCGGGCCAACTTATCTGCAGCAGCACATACTTGGGATGGAGGATAGAACGTTAGCAGTAGCATAAACTGGGATGGAGGATGGAGGGAGGAGGTTATACGGCGTGGTTCAGAGAACTGTTGGCGGATAGCGTAGATGGTAAAGCAACAGTTGACGAGCACGGTTGAACATAGAAGATACCGGGTCTTTATCATATAGTGCAGCGTTGGGGGCATCTTTTTCCGCACACACATAACATTACGTACCACACACACAGTCAAAAGACAATATTAAAGTACTGTGGATTTGTCTGTGAACTACGCTATATACACACGCTGTTTGTCTTGTTGGGTGAAGGACTGTAAACTGGCTGCTTGGTGGATGGTGTTTTGAATGTTCACTGATGGTGAATTGTCTACCTTGTCAGTCACGTCTAATTCCGGCATTTACTGCTCACGGAAAAGCACTTCTTCCGTGAATCGACTTGCTCATTCGCATTCGTGTCTTTGTTTTCGCTTGACACGGTGCCGTGCACGGACCTCTCACAACCAAACGGCGACATCGTCGGAGGTACAGCTGCCCATGGTGAGAGACACGTACCACTACCGCCGCAACACATTTGTTTAGATGACCACCAAGCACACCCCCTTTCCTTTCCTTTTGTGATAGTCCCTTTGAGCCATATGCTAAAAGTTATACTATTACGCAAGAGCCAATGAAATCCATGGAACTTGGTGGAACTTTTTGAAGTCCCGAGCGTGACAGTCAAAAAACGTCTATATAAAGCGAGCAGTTTCGCCTTTCTTTTTTCTCTTCTCTTCAGTTCGTTTTGGTACAGCTTTGATCTGTAGTACAGATTCACTGTTTGGTGCCATGATCGGGTCATTGCTTGTGCTGGCGATTGTCAAGAGGATTCTGAGGATTGGCCGGATTCAGTGGTCCGGTCATAGGAAATCTTTGCAATGTACTAGTGGGAATGTGGACACGTACCTTCGGGTATGTGGTGGGATAATTAAAACGAACTTTTTATTTTTTATTAAACACAAATAAACAAAATGATAAACAAAATAAAACAATCTTTTTCTTTTCGCACTCTTCTCATAAAAGTTTTGCCGCTTTTTATTTATTTTTTGCTTTGCCTTTTTTCATGTGCTTGACAAGTTCCTTAGTTTTTTACCCACCCACAGCTCCGTGCTAAACAAAGCGGGAAACAGTCTGTATCGTAGCCGACAGTAACACGATCACAGCGCGCTTTATCACACTTTGCTACGCCTCTTTCATCTTTTTTCTTTTACTTTCTGTGCTCGCGTAGTTCTGTTCGCGAAAATAATGGAAAGGAAAAGAGCTGGTTCGGAGGATACAATCTGGTTTGCTTTTTTCACATGTATCATACTTCACGCGCACCCTGGAAAAAGCAGACAGATAGGATATAGGGTCGACGCTCTTTTTCTTGAAAAGAATCCCTTTCTCTGCGTCCACCACGCTTGCCAGCTTAGGATTATCGTTTGTTAAGCTAACCACCGAGCGAGCTCAATGCGAGACTAAAAACGACAAGTAGTCTAAAACTACACCTCCATAAAGCGTATTCAGCGTAGTGTTTTCGCCTGGACGAGTGACGTCCCCCAACTTTGGTTCCATCCCCCCATCCAACCCCCCGCCCCCAATTTTTTTCACGGCCAGCACGGAAGGTCTGCGCATGAAGAAGCCGAGCATGACAGCAAAGTACAATGGAGACCCTGCGCAAAAAAAACATCGTAACTTGACCACAGAGCCTCGAAAAAACAAGGGTTTAGTATGTGCGTGTTGCTACGAGTCTGCACATTGCGCTGGGTGCAATTGTGTGAAAAAAGCGCTGCGAATCTCTTCGCAAGAACAGCTGCCATTTCGTTCGGAATGGGTCAAAATGGGTGACGCGAATAAAATAAAATGTGTTCTGACATGCTTGTCCTGGCAACAAGCCGCTTTCGGGAACATGGGTAGTCATGACTACTGAATGCCATGGCAATAAGCAGCTTTCTTATGCAGCGTGGTTAAGCAAGCCTCATAAAGAAGGATGATCACTGTGAGCGGTGAAGAAATCATGGGTGGAGTGAACCGGAAAAGGAAAATTTCGTTGAGATGCTTTGGGCAGATCAGAGCAACTACGAAAAGGAAGCAGGATACAGAAAGCGCGTTGTTCTTCTTCTCTTCTTTTCTTACGATGAATCATCATACGATAAACACCAAAGAGTATAGGCTATAATAACTTCGACAATCATATTCACTGCTCCTTATGAGAGCAATTTGATGCACCCTTGGTAGCATTAACAAAATCCAAGCTATTTTACATTGACACGTACGCTCACTGACCTGAACACGTCTATTCTGTCTGCTATGATAGACTTTTGTGGGGATAAACTAATAGACGGATCGCAGACATGCCGGATATCGAACATTTCCAAGATGAAGAAGATGAAAAAGGTGTAGTTTGCACTACGGTAAGTATTTTAGTGATATTTAGTTGAATTTCGTTAAACTTGGTTTATTTTCATTAAGGTGAAAATAGCAAATTCACCCAGAGCTATCAAAATTAACTTTCACAAGGACCTACCAATATTCACCAACCTTCATTACCAGTAATTCACCAGAAGCAACCCAAATCAACCCAAATTAAGTGCATCACTTAGAACATATAGTTACGAAAGTTAAAGGATATAAAATAGTATATAGCCTACCTTACCAATCCGCCTCACGAATGAGTGGGATTATTAGTCTGGTCAGAACGGCCTTGTTTACCTTGGTTAAATGATTCCGATGTTTTTTCGCGGGCCACTCTCTGAATACCTGTATGACCGTTAAGGCCCTCAATTGCTTTGTTCTGTCACGATGTTTACAACTGCGGTGGGGCTACTGAACTACTTGGAGTACCGAACAAGAGCACATATGGTGGTGTAGAACCACTAATTGTGCTAGTTGTGGTTGTTGGCCTTTTTTAAATATGATGTTCTGCACTCCAGCATATCCCGAAGTATCTCATTCAATTGATTTCCAAAGATTGTTGAAAGATACTGCTGGTTCTCACTCTGCGGATTATGACAGACAATGACAATAGCGGACAAGGCTTTGGTTTCGCATTTACAGCTTTTGTAATCGGTACGAACATATGCAATATATCCAAGCGGCATGCTCTATGTAGTAATATGTTAATTATTGAGAAAGAAGAATGGCTGCAGCATTTATCATGTCCATATTAGTATACTTATGAAGTTGAAAAAAGGTTTTTTGTTAGATAATGCATTAGGTCTATTTTTAGGTGGTTATCTTTACGATGTAATCGGTTGCTTTTGGCGCTGCATTGTTGTTGCAGCGATTTTACAGATACTGTCTCCACTACCTATTATATTTTTGGGAGACAAGAAAACGAACCCTTTCTTATTTTGTGCAGAAAAATCATCTCAAGTGTTTAATAAAGAAGCGTTAGATAATGTGAGATTTAGGTACGCGATTTACCACTGATGATTATTATAGTCATACTATCACTTATACACTAAAGATATAGGTTACATACAGTACGTAGGTGACTTTTTAACCATTAGTATCCCTCCATGTACTAGCTGTTGCACAATAACAGTTTTTGAAAAATGCGAAGTATGAATTGTTAAACTGCAATTTTTGTTGAAAGTTTTCCTGCAATTAGGAGATAAAGTGAAAATGTATTCTCATCGAATGTGCAACATAACGGTTACTTGTATCTATGAGAACAAGCATCATCACAAGTGTAACTTCACCACATATACAAGTGTAAGCCGAGAAGGTCCATTGAGCTCATCAGGCTCAACCACGCTATGTAAGTATACAACGAGTTGTAGTTTCATGATGTGACCAGTCTATCCAACCCGGACACTTATCGAAATTTCAACAGTGCATGGTGAATGCTTTTTATTTTTTTCGCAGAGATTTAACAATCATACAATACCAATATCACCACCTTGTTATACAAAACAACAGTAAGGGAAGAATTAGTTTCGAGGGCTGGGTGTCCGAGGAGCACGCCGTGCCGGAGCTGGGCTTTTTGATCGTCGTTTAGGGCTTTCAGAGCGACGAGGCGAAGACCTTGAGACCCGTAGAAGAAAACTTCACTTAGAGAAACCTTCTTTATACATATGTATGCCTCTATCATTTACATACCTTCTTGTTGACCTTTGCTCTGGAGTAAGGCTTCGCCGACGTGGTGGTGGTGGGGTTCTACGTCTTGAGGATCCAAGTTTGTTTCGATGAGCGTGTGCATACTATGTGTTGGCAAAAGTAAAACTCTCTTTGTTACGTACCGTTCTCGACCTAAATGCGGGCGATTATCCCTCCGATCATATCCATTGTAAGCAGGGCCTCTTGGTGGGGGATGAGCGGGAGGAGGATAATAGGGATTATACCTTCCATATCGGCCTGCTTGTTTGATAAATTGCTAGATATTAATTTTCCAGACGTTGTTGAATCATTTATCCCAGGTCCATACCATGATCACCAGGGCTCAGTCGTCTTCGATGACGGTTAAACAGCGGTGGAGGCGGTAAAGGATGGTATCGAGATGGTGGTGGCATTGGGGGCGGAAGATCGTATGCATCTCTGTAACGTGGCGGTGGTGTTGGTGATGCTGGTGCCTGTCCAGGTCGATAACTGTCACCTGAAAGTCTTGGCGGTGCGTCGCCGCGTTGTGGCTCAAGACGACGTCGAGAAGTATCAGCGCTAAGTTATACATGCATAGACCATCAAAATTCACGAGTTGTAAGTGGCCCCGTTCCTGTCGTCAGTGATTTCGCGTGTGTGTATGTTATACAGGAAAACAAAGGAAAGAGAACAAATCAAATACCTCGGGCAATCGCGAGCAAAATGACCTACACCGCCGCACTTGAAGCATGTATCTGGTATAGGAGCTGGTGGAGCATGAGACGGTGGAGGTGGTGGAGGAAATCGTCGGTCCAAATCGTTGTGTGCATGTTCGACGCGAAGTGTGTTGCCAAAATACTTGATGCCGTGAAGTCCATAGACTGCGTCGTCGCAAGCTCGTCGTGACTCCAATTCCTTTTTTAAATGGGTGATGCACAATTAACCGCACTGCCGAATCTCATATATACAAGTTGTCTGTGTGTACAAAGGCCGAAATAAAAAACGGGAAAAAAGGACGTGATTGTTGTTGTTGCAAATGCTGAAAAGAGTTTTTCTTGGCAAGAGGCTGCAAAAGCAAACGCGTCGTCTCTTTGTTTTCTTTCACAGAGCAGCAAGAACAGAAGAGGAAGAAGAGAAAGAAAAGGATACATAATCACCAAAACTCCATTTCAAATCTCCAAACTTACAACAAACGCGAAACCGGTCTTGGGCTCAATGGAAAGAATGCGGCCGTACTTTGAGAAGAGCTTGCGTAGATCGGCGGTTTGAACTTCTCGCGCTAAATTGCCAGCATAAAGGGTTGCAGCCATTGTTGGATGTGTGTTGTTGCCTGTTGCTGATGCTTATCGTCGGTACTGTTGGCGTTGTCTTTGTGCTGTTGCTGCAGCTGTTGATTTCGTTATTGATTTGATTTCAAAAGGTGGTGTATGTCAAAGAAGTAAAAGAGAACGCATAGCCCGCCAAGTAGCAGACGCGATGATAATGAAAGTCAGCAGACCCGGTGTGTTTAATGTTTCAATCTTATCCAAGTCTACGATAACAAGAGAAGAATACTTTATTGCTGTCTGTTGCTGCTGGCACTTGTTGTCAGGTATCATTTTCGGTGCTCTTGATCTAAAGGCACCATTTTCATGTAGAGCCAACTCTGCCCTCAGGGACAAAGTACACCTTGCTAACTCTCACTCCTCGGGTTTGGCAAAAACGGACTTTTAACGGCAGCACGGCCTCTTATTCTAGTATTTCGTTGTTCTTGTATACTGCCATACCACTCGAAACTCCTCTCCCTCAATGACAGCTGCCATTAACACGACCGTCGTCTCTGCACCAGGCAAGGTTCTCATGACTGGTGGGTATCTGGTTCTTGACCAAGCCTACCGAGGACTTGTGGTTGGCACCACTGCGCGATTCTATACCGCCATTCAGCCAATTCAAGATGAACAAGGCACCATTGAAGTTCGATCGCCACAATTCGACGTTGATGCCAGCTGGTCTTATACGGCCAGCGTTGAAGATGGCAAACTTCACTTCTCTGCTCGGTATAAAATATCTAAATCTCGCTTACTATATTACTGTTTTAAAAAAGCAAAATATTAAGCTATGTACGCTTTCGTTGTGTTAGACCTGGCTCGTCGCAAAACAAGTTTGTCGAAACCTGTTTAAAGTTCACACTTGAAGTGATCTACCAACGTACAGGCACCCTTTTCACATCAAATGGTGGTCTTTCAATAACCATCGTTGGTGATAACGACTTTTACTCACAACGAGCTCAGGTAAAGTAGATAAACCATTGAGAGTAAATACGGAAAGGACACTATCGGTCAGTAAACGAAAGCGGTATTTGCGTTTGACAGATAGATTAATGGAAAGTGTCGCGCGTTTTCCCTCTTTAGCTTGAATCAAGAAAGTTACCAAATACAGCAGAATCATTAGCATCGTTGGAACCCTTCTGTAGCACCCACGCCACGCTCAAGACAGTACACAAGACAGGCTTAGGCAGCTCTGCAGCATTAACCACTTCTTTGGTGACAGCTTTGTTTGTTCATCTGTCCGCTTCCGATTTGGAACAGGATCGTACATTAATCCACAATGTGGCCCAGTATGTCCATTGCTTTGCACAGGGAAAAGTTGGTAGTGGATTCGATGTTTCTGCCGCAGTCTATGGTAACCATCGCTACACCCGTTTCAAGCCTGATGTGCTTTCTCCTGTCATGGTAACTAAAGTCATTTTTCTATACTTTTTCGCCTTATCAAATCATAATGTTTTTGACGAACTAATGTATTTTGCCTTACAGAACGACCAGGTGGACCCGAAACAATTGCTCAAAGCGCTTGATCCTGCAACTGGAAGGTTAGTTGTTTTTAGGACATGACGGCTGGGTGTGTGAACAAACTAACGTGCCAATCTTTTCCGTATAGCTGGGATAATGCTGTGGTTCCTTTCCAGTTGCCACCAGGGTTAGAATTACTACTTGCAGATGTGGATGCTGGAAGTCATACCCCAACTTTGGTTAGCAAAGTTCTTGCATGGAGAAAATTGAATCCTACTGAAGGTATGCGTGGGTGTATCGAACAATGGTCATTTAGAGTTAATGCATGGCTAATGTTTGTTTATACTAGCCAACCAATTATGGGATCAACTTGGTGGCATGAACGCCAATGTGGAACAACATTTACGCAACTTGACCAGTGCTGCTGAATCAGACCCCGAAGCGTACAAACAAGCTATCGTGGAATGTGCTGCATTGAAAGCGTCTGAGGTCAGTGATGGTTTCTCTCGTTTTCGGCGTTCTCTTTACAGTGTATCCATAATTATGCCAAACAAATGATATTGACTCAACATACATCGTTCTATAGTGGCACACAGTAGCCAACAAGTCGTCAATAATGCAAGAGTTCGCACAATTGGCAGCCGATTTCGGTCAAATTCGCGCATACTTGCAGAAAATGAGCGAATCTTCCCAAGTACCGATTGAGCCTGCAGAGCAAACACGTTTATTGGACGCGTGCATGGATGTCGAAGGTGTTGCCTTGGCAGGCGTTCCTGGTGGTATGTTACAGCAGCTATGTGTTTATTAGGAACTCAAACTTGATTGCTGTTGAATCTGCAATTCTTATCTCTTCTTTCTATCTAGCTGGTGGCTATGATGCTATCTATTGCATTGTTCTTTCTGAAAAGGCAAAAGAATCAGTGCGAAAAGTATGGTCATCTTGGACTGAAATGAGCGTCGGTCCATTGTTGGCTCAAGCTGACAACAAGGGTATTGCCAAGGCTTCAGTGAACTCGGTGAACGGATTAGCACGATTCTTGTAAATACAATATCCAAAGAAAGTTGAATTTCCTTTGTTTTGTTTTCACACTTTTCTTTACCATATTAAAAAGCTTAATAATATTTATATTTGATGATTACTATGAAATACCCTTTTTTATTATTCGATATACTTTATTGTATTGGTGATGGTGGTGTCAGTGGAGCTTAATGGCCAAATCCGCCAGACTGGTTCCATGAAAGCCGGTCATGATCACCGAGTTTTCTTAAAATAAACAACCACGTAATTGAAATCAGCATTTAAACGAGCATTCTGCTAAGGCAGTCTACCATCAAAAGTATGAAAGAGTATTTTCTTACCTTGGTCGGAAAAAGTGCCAGCCAAGGAACACAACGCCCAACAGCGCACAGACACAGCCCATGATAATGTACGATAAACCCATAAATGGATTTTTGTTACCTAAGAAGGATGTACCTGAAAGCACAATCGACTTGGTACCTCCATAGTTTCGAATATCATAGTCTAAATGTCCCAATACAAGCAGGTTAACTTTAAACAGAATGTGGATGTCTTTCCATATGTCTTGTCCTTTTCATCTTATAATTTCAACATCTTTCCGCAAGAAAAAAAAGAAGAAGAAAGAAAGACGTACTCATATCCACTTGGACTTCATATGTGCCGGGCTGAAGCGGATCGCCATTGTAGTTGGAGTACAGCTTGCGGAAGGTTGGATACCAGCTAGTTCGCATCCATACCAAAAAGTGTTCGTCTTGAGTAGGATCAAACAGATTTTCGGCATTGTAACCACTGGGGTACCGTTTAGCCCAATTAGGTGGTGGCGTAAGCTGATCAACCGGCTGAGAAGATTTCTGGTATCGCGTTACATCCGTATGCCATGCAATGCCCTTCTCACTCATCGTGTATGTTATATTATCATCGCTTCCTTGTGGATTCAGTAGCGTCAAGTCTGAAAAGGAGTCTATTTATGGACAATAGAAAATTGAATAAGTTCCATCACTATTTTGAGCGACAAGATCCATCCATCCTTACACACTCCAATTTGCAAACTCATTCGACCCCCCTCACTATGAGATAATCTCTTTTAATGGTGCACTTTTCCCTTACCATTGAACATGGAGTTAGCAATAAGGCCACATGGATAGTATATCTTGCCGTCAGGCGCAGTGCCGACAGGAGCACAGGAAGCATCGGCGTCGCCACTAGTTAATGATTCTCCATTCAATTGGTTATAGCTCAAACTCTTGACGTATTTGCGATGATTTTGGTAAAAGTTGGTTAGCTTGTAATAGAGATATAGCGGCCCGTTGAGTTCCATCGGTATCGAGAATGTGATCGTGCATCGTGGTACAGTTTCGCCTTCTGGCGCGGCTTGACCGTTTAGATACGTTGCTTCTTGAGTCAGCACATAACTCGGTGCTCGGATCACTAAACGGATAGAATACGATCAGCACGCATTCGGTTGTGCTCCAAGCAAACCCAGTATGCCTCTTCATACTCATACATATTTCGCTCTATGATCCATCCTTGCAAAGTGTACCTGTTGTATTTTCAGATGTGAATACGTAGTCGTATTGATTATCCGTCAGTTCGTGCGTCTCGGTCGCTGTGATACAGTCTGTATAGTCGATTTTTATCTCGTTCACCTAATACATATGTGAATAAAACCACTTTCCGTTACCCCTTGTTCACAACCCTATGGCTGGGAGAGACATGTGAATGATTAATATACTTACAGTATCACTCTCGTATAAGAAAAGACCACCGATGGGTGCAAAGACGATGCCGACAGCGAAAAGGGTCGGTAATACCGTTTTCGGCGTCAGGAGCGGTTGCCAAGCTTTGAGTCGTTGTTGTTTAAATGCGGTATCTATACTCCACGTAAATCAATAGTCAATCGTCCGGTCAAAGTATTGTTTCTGTCGTTTTCATAAGTTGTTAAACGTACTCGCTGGTTTTTTGCTTTTGTGTTCGGACATTGTGTGTATGGGCTTAGTTGAAGGAAGAAAGGGATGAAAGAGAAAAGTTAAAGAAGAAGCGGAGATGAGGACAAGCTTGGAGTGGCGAAGTGTGGTGTTGAGGCACCTTAACTTTGTATGTGATCTTATGAGAATAGAGCCCTGTTTGGTTCTATTAATCAAAGCCCTAAATATTACTGACTATGCTTTGCTTTATATGCTTCAGCCTTAAAATGATGCCCATCGCAACGGATAAATAGAGAACCGTTGCGCGGTGCTGCTGCTATACATGGCAACTGTTTTGATCAGACATGTATACATGTTTGTATTATGTATTTGACTATCCCATTTTATGTAGCATTTAATGATCGTATCCCAATCCAAGTTACTGCTTTTTTAGTCTGGGGAGCAAAAGGGAGATTACTGATTTATGTATAATAATATTTGAGAAATCCACGCTGGAAACTAAAAAAAAAGAGCAGGAAATGTCATCTTCCTCTCTCGCTGGCCGACTGTATACAGTTGGCGTGTCACTCTTGATTGCCTCTATTGCATACCCATCTCAATTCTTCCTCTTTGCCCCCGGTTTTCAGGATGCCGCCTCCTGTATAAAAGCTTTACTTCCATTGAACCTTTTGGTTCTCATGGTATACTGGAATTACTACCTAGCTGTGAAAACAGATCCAGGTCAAGTACCAGAAGAATGGGTGAGTCATGTATTCTAATGCTGAATTAGTGGTGTGTCTGTTATGCAAAGTCTTGGTTCTTATATTATAAGCGGATTCCCTTCCACGTCTGCTCTAAAATATAGTTTGACAATATACCAGGATCTTTGTTGGTACCTTGCAATGAAGAACGACGAGCTGAAGGTATTACAGGTCCACGATACTGCAAGACGTGTGATATCTACAAGCCGCCGCGTACGCATCATTGTCGCTATTGCCGCCGATGCGTGCTCAAAATGGATCATCATTGTCCGTGGATAAATAACTGCGTTGGATATCACAACTATCCACATTTTGTAAGGTTCACGCTCTATGTGAGCGTTGCTTCACTTTATATTCTCATACTGCTAATATGGCGTGTCCGCACTATACTCAACGACCTTTCGCATTTTCGGGTAAGATCGCAAATGCTATATTCAAAAATGAGCGCGAACTGTCATTTTTTAACTTCGAGCCCATCTATGTCCATATGTGACATGATAGTTTGACTCGGAACCAACCACTGCTGAAGTTATCTTGTACGTAGTCGAGTTTGCACTGGCAATCATTGTTTTGTTTTGTGTTGGAATGCTCTGTGTCTACCATCTGTATTGCTTGGCCCGGAACCAAAGTACCATTGAAGGATGGGAGCGAAGTAAGGTGAATCGGTTGATCCGGAGAGGCAAGATATCACCGGTAGGTTGATATATATAGAGCGGTCTTTGCTGATATAACCCATACCATGTCAACGAATGCCGTTATTAATAGCAATTAAAAATTGTAATTTATAGGTCAAGTATCCGTTTGACGTTGGATTTTATCGAAACATCTGCTTGGTCATGGGCAACAATCCATTACTTTGGCTATGGCCACAACAAGTGCGTGGTGACGGCCTAACATTCCCTGTAATATCGCATACAGGTACAATAACCATCCTAGATAACAAATCACTGTCAAAATATACAGCAATTCATATGGATGCATAGATCCTGAGCTACCATACTATTGGCCACCACGCGATCCAGACGAGCTTCGACCTTCCATTTTCTCAAACCGATACCGCCAGCAGCAGCAACTAGAGCAGCAAGGACATATTGATACAAACGATGACGCTGTAGACTCGGATGAATATTATGACTCGGGAAGCTTATCAGATAGCGACTACTCTATTAGCGACGAAGAACAAAACGTACGACAGCCTGCTATGCATATGAAACGACAGTACCGGCGACCAATAATACCATCTCAAGAGCAGCCCTTACTTGCAGAACATCATCAGCAATACCCTCAACCGATCTCCAACACCGCACAGCCTGATAGGGATCATGCACTTTTGATTGCACGAAGCGTCGGTAGTAACTGCAGTGGCAGTAGTGGTAGTCGAGAGTCCAAAAAAGACGATTAGGTTAAAAAAATGAATGGTTTTACATCTACAGACAACAACTGGATGATGATAACATATTGCTTTGTTTTTATAACTTCTGAAATTAAGAAATTATATCCAAAATCGAGAAAGAGAAGGGTGGTTACAAAATTATATAAAGAGAAGAAAACTTTTTGTGTGCTTTATACAGAAAGAAAACTATAAAAAAAAAGTGGCGTCTTCTTTTTGATTCTAAAGGTCTTTTTAGCTGTGGGAAGGAGGAAGCGATGGCTGTAGGATGTGAGCAGAATGTGAGAAAGGAGTAGTTGCGTTTGGGATGATTGGATGACTTGGATGTATTTTTGTTAATTATCGCTGGCAAAGGCAGACACAGCCACAGACCAGATACCAGCAGCAGCTGCACACACACCAGATGAGATGCCCATGGGCCGCAGACCTATAAACCATCAACTTATGTCAGCGCTGTACTTCCTATCCTATATCAGTCTTATGAAACCGCCTTTCCAACTGAGCTCATTTATTCTCGTACCTGCTGTGCTCTTAAAGAGGGCACCAGAGATAGCACCAGCGGCTATGCTGTTGAAAGCATCATGGGTACCTCGGGAACGATCAATTATGGCGGTCGTACCGTTATACATCATAGCAATCACACCCACGGCGTTGCCGAGACCAGGGCCTCGTCGAGTAATGCTGTTCAATGTCGTATTCAAACGGACCTTCATGGCTTGAGAACCCTGTGCCGATTTGCGGACACCTTCCATCATACCATATGCACCACCCAACGTCAAACCGGCCAAGTAGGTTGTACCGGTACCGTAACATAAATCGTCCGTCCAGCCTCGCGAGGGTGTCAGTGCGGCACCGCCGGCAATGGCAGCACCACCACCAGAACCACCATACTGGTCTTCCACTTGCAAAAAGTCAATACCACCCTGGACCGTCATGGGCTGAAGCTTGGCAGCATCGTAGGAAACCTGGGACATGAATTCAGGCATGCTGTCATAGCTGTTGCTACCACCAAAGTCGTTGGTGTTGTTGGTGTTGTAATCGTCCAAGGGCGACTGGGATCCGCTGGGAGAGTACAGATCATCGGAGACTTCGGGAGAAGTGTAGTCGGCGACGTTGCTGCTCTCTTCAGGTTTGCTGCTGGATCCAAAGCCAAAGATACCCATGACGGCTTATATGTATGTGTGTGTGTGTATATCGAGGAAAAAGTGGAGAAATTACAAGTTGCAATCCAAGTCAATTCGCGCAACCATGTTTTTGTGACGGCTTTTTCTTCTCTTGAGCCCGGCAATTCTTAAGCCCGTTTTGATTGGTCAACTGTTATCAGTGCCATGCTATATGTGCTGCTGGCACTTTGGCAAGTACTACAATTAACCCGTGAAGATCTCCGGAAAAGCCGGAAGTGCTAAGAGAATATCTCATGTGTACGTCCACGCCGTATTTTTTACTCTTATTATTATGTATATGAAGTTCTGAATATGACGTAAGTGGTTCTTCCCATGTGTTCTGCTGTTGATGGCCGGTGAAAGAGCATATATAGTAGCATGAACTACTATCATCGACACTCATGCTCTAGACATCCGTGCAACAAGTATTTCTTCGCTGGTAGATCGAGCCAACATCCCACGCCAGACGCGAAAAAGAGGCGCCTTATTTTTCTTCTTTAAATAATTAAGAAGGCGATACGATGGAGGTAATAGCAGTGGACACCTTGGCAGGCGACACAAAGCGCTGCAATACAGATTTATATCCTGAGACTATAAACTTGCTACAAAATGAACGCACTACATACAAGTTTATATATGCTTGCTTAGTAGCAAAAAGAATATCAATTCCAGTTAAATCACACACAGCCTTAAAACATCTGTTGATACCGCACGATAATGTGATGTACTTGTAACACACCTTAATTTATACCGATTTGTATCACTTTGACGTGTATGCTCGAGTTGCACTTGTCTAAACTAGCTATGAAGACCCATATAGCCACAGTTTGACTAAAATACATGTACACTTGGCAGTAATTGTGGATGAGCTCAAAGTAAAGAACATCAGTACATTTACATAGGCTATTCAACAGGTGGGCCGTGCCACCACATATGGCTGAATACAGAGTTTGAAATCAAAATGCCATAGTATAATATCAATAACAGGGATTTATCACCACACAAATGGGATGCAACTACTGCATGTGTATGGTTCCTTTTTTAACTTTGCACTTCTTCGCCTTGAATTAAATGATAGATAGCTAATAGCTGTGACGCACACGCGATCATGATACGTTATTTTCCTCTTAGAGATCACAGATCAAGCATTCTCCCTATCTCAATATTTCATAGACTGCTTTGACGACTGTCCCGCCTGCTGATTGGCAGACCTTGAGGTCCGGCCTCACAGCAGGCAATCAATTTACCACGACTGTTGCTTTCCAAACTCAACCCTTTCAGCCAGAACAAAATTACGAAGCAATGCCAAAAGGTATAAATCAACGACGAAAAGATAAACAGAGTGGTGTCTGTTGCCTCCTCTCCCATCTTTACTTAAGACCATGGCGATATAGTGAAAGTAGCGAAACTAACTAAGAATGGCCGGCATTGAATATATTTTGTTTAGGAACAAGAAGCTCACCATCTGCAACATCGGCAAAAAGAAAAGGACGTCCACCAAAAAAGAAATCGAGAGATTCGAGTGGCAGAGCGGGAGTAGACGAAGGCGATGATTTCGATTACACTGGAGAAGAAAGCGATCAATCGTTTGGTGAAGATGATATAGACAATTTAAGCGACACGGATTCACTACGGGGCAAAAAACGTGGACGAAAAGCAGGATCAGCAAGCAGAGATGAGCGGCCGAAACGCCAACCAGGCACACCTGTTGCCAGCGCTTCTCCGTCTTTGGATCCAGACAGCGACTATGATGAACATGGAGAAACCAAAGTGGATAGAGGAGGCAACCTGTTAGGAGGTAAAGAAAGAAAAGGGAAAGAGAGTGAGAGAAAGAGAGTGAGTGAGAGGAAGAGCTAGTGAACTGTACGAGTGCACTCACAACGAGGGAACTGATTATGTGTGTCAGGTCGGCAGTACAAAGTTCCAACGTTTAATTTACCCAACCGTGGCCGCATGCTGTTCATGTTTTCCAAGGACCCTGCTGCGCTACTTGGTTTCCGTGACAGTTTCGTCTTTCTAAAAAAGAATCCCAAGCTGGTCAAGGTGCATGTCACCGATGCCGAAAAGGGCTTTCTGGTGCAGCATAATCTTCTTCGATCCACGTTTAGAACGCGAGAAGTGTCCGTGGTAACCGCCCGATCCGTATACAAGCAGTTTGGCCATCGTGTGCTAAGAAAGGGTCGGCGTGGACGAGACGATTACTACTACACCGGCGAAGACGAGGGCGATTTTGATGAACACAGCGAGGAGGAAACAAAGGATGCAAACGACAAGTCATGGTCGCCCTTTGCTGTTAGCGGACGAAACAACTTGACGAGCAATAGTCGACGAACACCTATTGCTGCTAGTGCCGCTGCCTCCAAAATGTCAGCACCTGTCATCACTGAAACCAACTGGATGCATCACGTTGCACTATCTATACGCAACTTTAACACGCAGCTCTGCGAGTATCGTCGCGATAACCCATCCTTCTTTGATCTACACACAAACGTCCATCAGATCCCAGCATCAAAGCAGCCATTGCGCTTGCTGTATGAAATGACCGAATCACCGTTAAAAAAAGAAAGCTCTCAAGAAACTGGAGAAATAGCAACCGGGGAGAATGCGCCTGCAGAGAAAGCAACAGCACAGCAGGGAGCTGGATTCACCGAAAAGAATGAACAAGATGTGCCATCAGTATCATCCTCTGCATCAGCAGCACTGCCAATGACCGCAGCTTCAGCAGCAACGGTACCCACACCAGCAGTACCAGTAGCACCACAGTCATTAACATCAGCACCGCCATCATCATTACCTGTTTCCACACCAAGTGTCCCACAAATGGCACAGGTACCGCAACAACCAGGCCAATACCCCGCTACAACACAACAGCAACAGCATGCAATGTAAGTATACATCTCGAAGGACTAGTGTGTGATCGATTGGTTTTCTTTCTAACACGATAGTAACTCATTCTAGTCGCCAAATGCAAGCACAGCAAGCTGCTGCTGCCGGTCATCCAATGTATTTCCAACAAATGGCGGGCAACCGGCCACCTCAAGTACCTATGGGCGGACCCATGGGAGCATATCATCCTCAGCAACAACAAATGATGATGCAACATGCATCTGCCAACGGTGTCTATGCCCCCAATACCAGCATGGCACCTATGGGAAACAATCCTTATCCGTTTATGCATCAAAGCGGCACAATGTAAAAAGAAACAACTGATATCCATCTCTGTGCGTGTGCGTTGTGATTGTCTATAGTAATAATAATGCTGCTTTGCTCCTGGTGAAATATACACATCCTATATATACTCGTGTTTTCTTTGCTTAAACTTTATACGTATCTTAATCGAATTTGGACCAAGTGTTTTTTATTGTTAATGTGTGTGTGTGTGATGGGGGTAGGGGAATGATTTATTACAACAAGACCACCATTACTACCAGTACTGCGTCTCCTCCAGTTAAATATACGTAAAATGTCTGCTCTTTTAACAAAAGAAAAATGCTTAATGCTGTGCCCATTGGATAGACTTCAAGTCGATACCCTCTTGAACCTATTAACAGACATCGCGTTAAGTCAACTAATTCTTAAAAACAAGACAACTTCAATACTTTTACTACTCAAACTTACCATCTCCCACAAGGGTGACATGTCTCGCAGCGTTTGTACATGTTGGGAAACCTTGTTGATGACAAAGTCGATCTCTTCTTCGGTTGTAAATCGACCAATACCGAATCGGATAGAGCTGTGAGCGGTTTCGTCATCTGCTCCCAAAGCGCGCAGCACGTAGGAGGGTTCAAGCGAAGCCGAGGTACATGCGGAACCGGAGGACAAGGCAATATCCTTCAGAGCCATCAACAAGGACTCACCCTCGACATATGCGAATGACAAGTTCACACAACCTACATAACAATACCATTCGACATGAGTACATTTTGTGCATGCAAGAGTTACGTGTGTGATAGAAACCATTCCTTTTTACCTGGATATGATTGCTCTGGGTCGCCATTGCGTGTGACAGCATCGACGTTGCTTTGGATACCAGTGATTAACCGATCGGCTAAACTTGAAATCCGTGCATGATCATACTAATAAACGGTTCACGTGTAAGTCAATGATTCCTTCTCTCCATACAAAACGACGCAATGGTTTCTAATCGTTACTGCCCTCAGAACCCCTGCACAATAATCCTCGCGACGACCCTGCTTACACCTCAATGAGGTGGTTGTGATGCAGCTCGTTACTCATGGGCGCTTTTTTTACCGTGCCATAACGCTAGACACGATTCGTCATAGGGCAGTCAACCACGCCTCCCTCTCACTTTATAGAACAATTCCCATTTCTAATTACCTCCATTTCTTCCTTGGAAATTCGGCATGCTTCACCCAAACCGACAACCAAAGGTGCAGGAACAGTGCCGCTACGAATACCACGTTCCTGACCACCACCGCTCATAATGGCCTGCAGACGGACACGGGGTCGACGGCGGACATAGATGGCACCAACACCCTTGGGACCATACAGTTTGTGGCCCGAGATACTTGCAAGATCAATATTCATAGCATTGACATCGATAGGGATTTTACCAGCAGCTTGCGCCACATCCGAGTGGAAAAACACCTTCTTTGACCGACACAGCTTGCCAATTTCAGAAACGGGTTGTGCCACACCAATCTCATTGTTAACCATCATGATGGACACGATGCCCGTATCAGGTCGCATGGCCGCTTCTAATTCCTTGAGATCCACAATACCGTTGCTTTGTACAGGCAGATATGTCACTTCGAATCCTTCCTCTTGAAGCTCACGGCACGATTCTAATACACATTTGTGTTCCTAAATAATTTATCCGTTCACATTTAGTTTTTTTTTTTTTTTTTTTCCAAAGTACTACTAATGAAATCATCAATAAAGAAGTATTCGATTGGGTTAGCGTACGATTTGAGTTGTGATGATATGGCGCTTCTTGTTCTTGTAGAATCGTGCGACACCCTTTAAACTCAAGTTATTTGATTCAGTAGCACCAGAGGTGAAAATGATTTCTTTGGGATCAGCACCGATCAACTTGGCTACTTCCTATGTACAATAGCAATGACAATCGTCAAGAGAGGACGTCAGTTCAGTGTAAAACACAATGTTTTCCCTTGCGTTGCTCCAGATTACTAATCGTCGCATTACTACGTCCTGAAATCAAAACGTAGAATATCCAACAGAAACTTACTGCACGGGCAGTTTCAACAGCGGTTTCCGTCTCCCAACCGTACTGGTGAGTTCTTGAGTGAGGATTACCATAGTTTTCAGTAAAGTATGGCATCATTGCGTCCAAAACACGGGGATCCATAGGACTTGTTGCTTGGACGTCAAGATAAATGGGTCGTCCTGTTGGTGATTTCATTGAAGTTTCGAATCCATGTGAATCTAAACAAAGCAATTTTGTGCGATCGCAACATTGAGTCCACAGAATATGTGTATAAGTCATATATGATAAGGAGATAGTGGGCAATATGTTGGATGTATATCTCACCTTCAGAAGGGGTGGTCACTGTAGGTTCGGCAGCGGCAGCCTGCTGTTGCTGCACGGCATGCTTTGCAAAGGCACGATACGTAGCAGGAACAGCTGTTCGCTTGGCAGCAATTGATACAATGCTACGTTGAGAAGCAAGCGTTCTTTTCAAAGTGTTGGCCAACATATTTTTTAAAGTGAAAAAAAGAAGGTTTGATGTTCGCGGGCGTTCGGGAACCATTTTTTTTTTTTCATTTTTCATCTCTCACATTCGCGGCACTACGGCCAAGGCAACTCCGAACGGTTAATAATGCTCCCCGCTCTCCCCACAGTAGCTGAAACAAGCATATTTATCTGATTACTACTGATTACAACGCATAGTGAACGGGCCTCTCCAGTGATGCCTTCCTAATTTGTTCATCATACATTTCCTCTCCAACGACGCAGCAGGCTCTACTCGGGATAAACTTATCTATACAGGCATTGTGGTATTGACCTATTATCGTACATAGCTTCAAACTTTTGTTAATAATAAAAAAAAATGGCTCCCACAATCTACTTTAGGTGATAAGTAATGTGAACGTCCTATTCACATTACTGACTTATAACATACGCTCATGTGGCTTTGATGCAAGCTAAAGCACTGTTAGTGCGCTCTTTTTAGCACATTTACTCCTATGAGTAGAAGGAAGCTACTGTGTTTCTTTTCTCCTTGTTTGTCTCTGCCCCTATCCCGCTATTGCTGCGAAAAAAAAGCCAATGTTTATCCAAAAAATTAACAGCAACGAAGACTTTCTTTACTGTATCTTCCAGTACATTTGATGGACATTTCATTTTTGGAGCATTTCATTTCATGGACAGGACCCCGAACTCGGAACAATGCGGGGAAACAAAATTTGATAGCTGTGTATATATTTTCATTTCGAAACAGTGCGCCATGATGAATATAGACTCCCGTAAATTGTCGATGCGTCTAATGATTGCATGGAATATCCGAGTCTTGTCAGCAACTATGCGCTTAATTTCCTCTTTGAAAAGTAGGGTTGATTGATAATGATGCCAGTATATAAGATAAACAATAAGCATCTATGATCGTAGTCACTCTCAGTTTCACGTCTAAAAGGATTTTACTTTGTACATCTAGGACCAGCATATACCGGGCAATTTCGGGCGATAGTTCGATTAATTACTTGCAAGTCGATGAAACGGCATTCAGTCATCAAATTATTCCTCATTCAAGCTTCTGCGTTATCTCATTCTTGACAAACAATGGCTCTTCTTGAATGATTAAATAACCATCTTTCAAAACAGCAAGCCGACACTATATGATAGATATTGTACATTTAGGTATATAGAACTGTACAGCTCCAAAACCAAAGCTGATCAAGACCAAGAAAACTGTCATACACTATTGCGCACTTCTCTATCTAGTTTCGGAGGTCCTCCAGGACCATCCACAACTTGCTAATTGCACTAGTTTAGGAATTTTATGTCATTGAAGAGAATTATGACATAAAAAAAGATACCACTAGGCATGTCATGCTAGCAAATACATGAGCGAGCCATGTCAAACTAGAACCTTTGTTGAACACCTGCCATTATGTTCTTTGTGCTTGGAGCAGTTTTAATCTCCAACCTAATCATAGTGTTTATCATACTCATCATTGCAATAATTCTTATCATTCAACTGTATAATCATCATGTATACAGAATAAACGGTCTTTAGTGGTAGCAGCGATGAGTTTTTCTGTTATACACCACGTTGTTCAGCAAGAATTACGGTAGATGTGGTACTACTCGTTCCGTCGTTTATAATACTGTGGCTTTATGCTTACAGCTGAGATCTGTCAATGCAACTACATATTCGTAAAGAACCTAACCTTGTGATACATACTTTTCATTGGGCATTTAACATCCCCTGAATATCTCCTTGCGTACCTGACTTTGTTTTAGCGGATGTCTTGACCCAAGGATATACTCATAGCATTCTGTGTTCAATATATCTCACGCAGCATGATCACACCGCTGTGTACAGACAACAGCCGGGATACCATCATGTCAGGTACAATGAATGATCATGACATTTATTGCTGTTTCTCGGATGACAAAGAAAGAATTTAAACCTAGGTCACATATACATCCTTTCGATGTCAAAACCCAAGATGCGTCATCGACCTATAAAAAGAACAGAAAAAGGAAAGGTGAGCGACCTTCAAAAAGACTGCGTTTCCTTTTTGTGGGAAGGATGATTGTGTCACTGTTTCGCAACAGTGTTATTCTATATGGCATTAAGAGTAAGTTTTATAATTATGATAGCAAAAGATACGTGCATAAACAAACACCTTACATAGTTTATTTTTGGATCACCTGAGACAGCCTGGCAATTGCTTTGATAATTACAACTGTGATTATGAGTTTTGCAGCAATTACGATAAAATTAATGAATAATTGTTCTACGGGCATCATCAGCCGATCGGTTGGGTGTGTGTTTGTGGTGGAGTTTATTAAAGGGTGTGATGAAAATCGTGTAGGTTTAACCTGATTTGGCATCAATCAACCTGTCTGCATTCAAATCACACAAACACCACACACACAAGTGCGTGTGTGATAGACAAAGAGCGGGCGAGACACACTTACTCTTCTTCTCTTACAACCCCCAAAAATAGTGGGTGAAACTCTTTCTGTCTCTCTTCCTCTTTCTTCAACCCAAAAGATAATGACACAATGCACACGAAAACCGACGAGCCGATATTGAGGCCGAGTGCCTTGGCCCGAGCAAAACTGCAAACACCACCTTACACCAGCGTACCTGAATGGGCTAGTCATTCTGAATCCCCAGAATCGCTCTTTGCTCCAAAGACACCTTCTACACATGCCACGGACGATGCCATGCTTTCTGCAGAAAGGATAAATCAACACAAGTAAACTGCCCTTTTTCGTTTTTTTTATAAATTTCCATCGCCCATAGGTTTAATTCTAAGACTTTGGTAGCAGATCTGCTATATCGACCGACAGTTTATTTTCGTCTTTAAGGTCGGCGATTCGGCGCGTCCATCCCGATCAGCAGAAACGAAAGCAGCAGCAACAGCAGCAGGAGCAGCGAGATCGTGTCATTATTACACGGGCAAGCACAGCAACCACCGCCACCACGAATCCGCATAATAATATCAACCATAACCTTTTTTCTATACCGACGATTCCCGAGCTACTGTTGTCTCCCAGTAGTGCCCCTACGAGCATACGTTATACCGCCAACAACAGCAATAATGATTCTGTCTCGTCGCTTGCGACTCGCAGAACCATGTCGGCTACTTCATTGGCACTCTCAGTAATACCCTTGACAGAAGAGACTGGCTCTGTTTTTGAAAGCAATAATAATAATAATAATAATAACGATAATAATGAATGTGCTGCCGGCGGGATATTGATGAAAGGTCGACTTTTATGCGCTGTCCATATGGAATGGTACAGTCGACGGCAAGCAACAGCAAACGAAACATCTCGAAACCACATTCGTCTGCGACAGAGCCGGTTGAGATGGCGTGAGTTTGAAGGAGTGCTCAAAACGGATCGATTAGAGCTCTATCTGGTCACAGTAAGTTATTTCTACAACAGAGAAAAAATTTGTAAAAAAAAATATGCTACTAAAATATGTATTCATCACTGTTGTATAAAGAACCTTGTCATCAAAACACGACGGCTCGCTCATGTCATCTATCTGAATCCAAACGCCAAAAAATCGCGACGCTACAATCCTGTACGGCTCGTGCTGATATCCCCCGTGGATTTCGTCTGGAGCCTACAGTTTCGATCTTATGAAGGCCGCAACATCCATTTTCTGTTTGCATCGCGTACCTTCCGAGAATCGCAGACGTGGTACATGGCGCTTTATCGACGGCCTTTTACCAAAACAACGCCTATTCCAGCATTAATTGACTTGTATATACCAGCACTCGACGACTTGCAAATACGATTACCTCTTGCCGACCTTGATTTCGAAAACAACAATGTTCGCATACAGTACGTTGTAAGATGCGCATTGACGTTATTGGACCGCCAGGGTATACGACCGGACAGCTGGCATTGTGACAATGTGAGCCTGTGTTGGCGTCATGGGAAGCAAGCACGGCTCGCATGGATACCCGACAATGGCTATTTAGTGAGTCCACATCTCATAGAACAGGTAGGGCTTGGATCTTTCCTTTCTCATTTGACAACAGCCATTGCTTGACATTGACTTGTTGAATCCTCAGACACATACTTTGGAGCTTCGCCCAGATACGCAACAGTGGCGGCAACAACCGCGTGATGTATGTTGCATGATTCTCGTTACCCCGGTCTCAATCTATAACTATTGACAACAAATTCCACGGAATACACGATGCTCACTCACATGATCCTCTAGCAATTGCCACCACCTGTGATGGAGGGCGAGCTCTTCTTTCTTGACAGAAGAAGGAAACAGCAGCAACGGAAGAAGCTACTCTATGCAATGATGGAAGGACACCTGCTATTCTTGTTGGATCCTGGAAAGGCAACAAGACCGCCGGATGAGATCCCGAACGGCGGAAGACACCATACTCGGTTCACATGGGCACGTTCTCTCTTTGCGACGCAAGCACTGCATGTACGATCACTGACTCGACTGTTTCGCCCGTCGAGCAACGTGAGTGTCACCTCGACGACGCAACATGCAGCACAAGCTGAATTTACCCGACGCTCAGCGAACATCATGAGTGCGGTGGCCGTCATTGATATGACTCGTGCAACCAAGGTGCGACGCGTATCGACAGAGCAACGGACAACATTCGAAGTGAGCTTGGGCAACACGAACAAGACACAATTGCATTTTGAAGCGTCGACAATGCACACCATGTTTGAGTGGATTCAACGCATACAACGAATTGTCCAATGTCAACAGCAACTGCGACAACAACAACAACAACAACAACAACCGACGGCGACGACGACTACCTTGCCACCGCAACTCCAAGAACGGAGCGTTTTAGTAAGTGTAAATTTCTTTTCATTGTAGTAGGCTTGTGCACGGGGTAGTATGTGGTGTCAATTCACAAGCGTGTGAATGATTTGTTTAGCATTCGGGCATGCTGTATGTGCGACAAGACTATCTTAGCACATTCAAGCAGCTGTACTGCATATTGACGCGGGAAAAGCGACTGGTTTTGTACAACACGTGTCGGCAGCGAGTCTGGAACGAGCATTTTGTGACGCTGTCCCTGGATCAGCAAGTCTATGTTTATTCAGCAGAAGATGATGTGGGCAGTCAAGACAGCCGTGGCAAAACAAAGCAGCCACCGCGTATGTTTGAGGACGGAAGGACAGTGGAGAGCAGCAGCACGGAGACATGCTCGTTTGTGATCTGGCAGACAGCACAGCGGCACCTGCTGGTGACATTGCGCGAGCGGCTGTCGACGCTCAAGTTTGGACATCGGCTCGGACGCAAAGGCACAGTGTGGGTGTGCTTGGCGCGAAGCCAGGATGAGAAAGAGGCGTGGGTATGCGCAATGCACCAAGCCATCGACCAGGTCTCGTGACAATAGCAGAGGGCATGTTTGACAACACTCTCGCGGGTGGTGGTGCTTGTTTTTTTTTGGGGAGAGGGCGAACCCATCATAATGCATCAAAGCTTGTATCCAAATTAACCTCATTTCCCTCACTCTCCCTCCCTCCCTCTCTCTCTCCCTCTCTTTCGCTCTTCTCGCTCTTTCTCTCACACACACGTCTCTTTTCTTTGTTTCTTTCTTTCATCTTCTTTGTTCCACAACAACAATAGCAACCACAACGCACGCATACTTCTCTTTTGCACGTATCATTTTTATTAATACTACTACTACAACTACTACTACTGCCCAACAATAAAACCACCCACGCATCATTCTTGATAATGGCATCCTCCGCAACTGCGACAGCAATCCCTCCGCCGCCGTCCTGCTCGCCCTCCCCTTCCTCTCCGTCAACAGCTCTTATTGCTGCCCATCCACGCAAACTCGGCCTCGTTAAATTTTTCAATTCAACCAAAGGCTATGGCTTCATTATCCCCGCCGAAGAAGAACAGCAGCAGCTCGTAGCGACCGGTCAGCCGCCTGTTGAAGGTGAGTGCCATGCTTTTACTTGATAATAATAATAGTAACAATACCAGCACCACCAGTAGCTTGTGCTAACCAGTCTTCCACCACTACAACAATAACAACAACAACACAAACTAGTTTTCGTACACCACACAGCAATCACGGGCGGAGGCTTCAAGAGCCTTGCCGAGGTAAGCTTCCCATATCTGGCCGTTGGCTCGTTTGATCTACATTGATAACCTGATCGTTTTTTTCTCTCTTTTTATTTTTTTGTGTGTGTCTGCGTGTTTCGCTCCCTAGGGAGAGGAGGTAAGATATAATATACACACACACACACACACACGTCTACGGGAACGAAAATGCATAGTTGCTGTTGACACGTCCTCGTTTTTGTAGGTCGAGTATGATCTGATCCAAGGGCCTAAAGGCATGCAGGCTGCCAACGTGTCCGGTCCTGGAGGTAAACCCGTTCAAGGCGATCCAAACGCACATCGATCTTACCATCATCGCTACCAGAGGTACGTACGTGCTGTTGATGTGTAAACATGAGGAACTCTTATTTACATGAGGGATGATACCATCAGTGGCGGAAGACATCATTACTACCATCACCACCAGCAACAACAACGACAACAACAACAACAACAACAGCAGCAGCATCATCATCATCGTAGCCATCAAGATAGCAATGGAAGTGGATCAGATGGATCCAACGGTAAGTAGAACGGGAGGATGGACGAGTATGCTGTGGTGTGACTGATAAGTAATAGTTCCTTCACCGGCAGGTCATTTGGGATACCCAGTGTATGGGATGCCACCGTACGGATACCCCATCTACGCTGCTGCTGCTGGAGCATACATGGTGCCAACCACCGCCGGATACTACCACCATCAATTTGCATCGTCACAGTCATCGCCACAGCTCAAGCCATCCATAGCCATGTACTATCCCTATGCGCCAATGGCAGCCCAACCCCACCAGCACCAGCAGCAACAAGCGTACGGCCATCTGTCTAATTCGTCGTCATCGTCGTCGTCGAACCACACAGCCACAACCTGCGAGCCAGAATCCGGGGATGTTTCTCCCTCCTGCTAAAGTATCACCACCACCACCACCACCATCACCCACCAAAAACAAGCGATTACCTCGAACGAGCCCACGCTCTCATCTTCCCTTTCGTGTGAATGCATGCTGACCCGACTCCTTAACTCTCTTTTCTCTCTCTCCAACTGTCTCCACACACTCACTCACCCGCACAAACATATAGTAACACACCCACGCACGTCCACCACACGCCTAAATCACACACAAACACTTTTAAAACTGGATCCCCCACCTTTTTCTCTCTTTCTCTGTGTTCTCTCCTCCTCGTCCGCTCCTTTTGCTGGCTGGCGTAACAAAAACAAAACAAAAAAAAAGAGGTCCAGAACGGGTAAAAGAAAATCATGTACACACATAAATCGATTGTTAATATCACGACCAAAGAGGGAGTGTCTGTCTCTGCTATTTTTAATATCCCACCATGTACACACCATGCAGCGCCCCAGCACACCGAAAGAAAAACGAGGAGACACCTTCATCTTCATCAAATAGTAGTCATATTCTGATTCGCTTCTTTCCGCGCCATACACACTTAACAATAATAACACCAACATGGAGCGCAGCAGCTACTCCTATGTTTTGTCTAAGCTCATTTCATCACATTGCTATCATAAAGAGACTTCAAGGTGTTGGGAACGGCGAGAGAATCTGATTATGCTGCAATCGCGCCTTACGCTGTCCGGGCGTCAAACTTCCCTCCTCTTTGTGTCCTTCGTGTGGTGGGATCGGCAGCGGTGTGAGCCCCATGCCGAGTTTTTGATTCGCATCGAGCGTCGAGGGCGTTGCACGGAAGCCTTCAATGTTTTCCTCGCAGTTGTTGGCGGGAAAGTCGGGCGGTGTCCTTTTTGTTCGTTTAATTACAGTTATTATTGTTAATAAACTCTATATCTTTTTTTTTTACCCCTTACCATCCTTTGATGAACATGTCACGCTGACGCTTCAGATATTCCGAGTTGCGACGACACACCGGTGAGCTTGGGATGTACAGCACAGACGAATCACAGTTGGATTCGTTCTTTGGTTCGACTGCGTGTACTTGATCACAGTGCCTTTTTTTTATGGTGGTATATCTTCATCTCTTAATTATGTATCCATGGTGTGTCTGTCTTCTCATCTCGACAGAAAGGAGTAGCATCTAGTATTTCGTCTACGTACCAAAATACAGCATCGCCGAAATTGACGTGAGGCACAGAAACCATGCAATCGTTAATGATTTCTGGATGGTTTTCTGGAGTGATATCGCTGCATCGACCTGGCCAAGATCCAAGCAAGTCGCTCTTTTGAAGATGGGGCTCAAGTAGCGGCTTCATCAAAATATACGCCATCGGCTCTTTGACCAAGGGACACACTTTGAGCGTGCCTCCACCAGGTCCTATGCTGGACAGAGATACCCATCCTTGGAAAATGCGATACATCGAGCAGCCACCGGGCGAGTTATACATGTCCATCTCGGCATCGACACGATGCGTTACATCAAAAGAATCATGTTCCTGATGATCAGCAACATATAACAGCAGGATCAGATCTTTTGCATTGCTTCTCTAAATGTTACACCAAAGGGCGACAACAGCTAGCGCACATGATGCTTATTGGAGTCATACTGTACTTGCCTCCCATGCTCCTTCAAAGATCTTTTGATAGCACTTGCGATACGTAGGGTCTTCCCAGCGCTCTACAGATCCACCATCCACGTGACCCGACAAAGCAAATGTTGCATCCCCGGGCTGTCGGATACGCAAGCGATCACAATAGCACAAGTTATTTTCCAGATCAACCTCAGTCTCTGAAGTAGCATGCCACAACTGATTCAATGCCAACGCTGCAGTCGTGAAATTAGGATGCGATCGGCAAGCACACTGTGCCTTTGTGAAATAGAGTTCCCAAGCCTGTGGTTTATCAGCCGGAAAACCAACAATCGTGTCACGATGTGCATCGATACAGTCCAGGATCTGCTGCTTGTACGCTTTGGCCGTGGTCTCATCAATGAGGCCACGGACCACAAGCACACCGCGCTTCTTGACTTGCGCAGCAATGTCGTCAGGAAGTCGGCCGTTGTTTTCAACAATGGATTGGAACGGGATTTCCGGGATCACATTAGGTCCACGCTGGCGGATCTCGAGTGATTCGTTCTTGAGTGCCTTCACCACGCGTTCGTATGCAGCTTGAAGCACACTTGGATCGGATGGGGCAATCTCCTGCTTCAGCTTAATGAAGCGGGGGTCCAACGCTGGCGGTTTGGCTCCCAAGTGCACAAACACAGACGACAAGTCACCTTGATGCGCTTTGGTTGCTCCAGTTGTTGTTGCGGGTGCTGTCACGAGCATTATAACGATGAAGAGAGTTTACTTTCTACCGAAGAAAAATAACGAGAGTAAGAAACATGATGATATATATGTAGCCGCTTGTTTTGAAAAACAGCGGAAAAGAATGGTACCGCGGAATCAATATGGATGGATGTTTTGTTTGGTTTGATCGTGTCGCGTGATATTATTAGGTAAACACAGAAACTTGTATGGTTGTATGTACGCATAATGCTCTTTAGGTTTCAGCTTTCTTGTTTGGCATGAAGGAAAGCAACACAGAGAAGACCATGTTTCACAGTACGTGATCCAGTTGCTCGTCCTCATGTTTTGTACCATTGCATTGGAATACTGTATCTACATTGCTCTGTTTTACTATTATGTACGAGCAATGCTTTATTCTTTGTTGTTGTCGGGTTCATTATCCATTTATGCATATTTCCATATCAATAATGGTGCTGCATAATATGTACTCAGGGTGAATGATGCAGGAACGGGTGGTGATGATCTTTCTCTTGGAGGGTTGCTGGCGGAATCACGCTTTATAGCAGTTTGATATTGCTTCTTATGGTCTTATTGTATAAGCCCACATTGTGTGAACATGTTTATTTACAATTGTACTAGGGAAAAAGAAGAGCTTCCCAGACCTGTTGTACATTTTATCGTCTACTAGGTAATCAAATTATCGTGGCTTTGCCTCTACTATTTCCCTTTTCTAATTTTAATGGGTTTACTTTCATGCATCAAGTGCAGCAGCTCGTTCATAGCACTCCAAGGCCTTGTCGTCTTGATGCAAAAGACTATAACATCCTCCAAGCGCTTTCCACATCCGCCCATCATCAGGTCTACATATACGTATATTCAAGAGGTATCTAGTTGGCGCCATATCTCATTTTCCATGGTAGAAAATTAAATAGAAATGGAGTGTACCTGAGCTTAGCAGCTTCGTAATAATGACGACGCGCATGTTCTGGTTGACCCAGCATTTCGTGCGCCTGACCAATTCCATACCAGGCACGGTAATCTCGACTATTGATTTCTATGTGTATAGTCGAGAATTACTGTAAGTTTTATTTTCTTTTTAAATATAAAATTAGTAAATAGACTCTGCTTCTTTTTACCTATGGCTCTAGTATAACACTCTATTGCAGCATTTGTGTTTTTCAGCTCGATGTAATCGTGACCCAATAACGTCCATGCAAGATGATAGCTTCGATTGAGTTTCAGTGCCCTCTTGAAATATTTTACAGACTCGGCAATTTCTCCCGTGGCGCTGTGGTAGTTGGCTATCAAACCATATTCCATGAGATGATGATGGTGATGGATCTTTGAGATATATTTTCTTCCTCCCTCACCTCCTTGCTCACACTTGTTGAAAGGACGTCCTTACCGACGATGCAGCACGTCTCTGGTTCATACTGATCAATCTGTATACATTCATGCGCGAGCACACTCAGCTTTTCTCGAGAGCCTTGAAGATAAAGCAGGTTTGAATACACATCCATGTCTTCAAGTCGGTATGGATTTTCTTGTCTGATCTGGTCAAAGAGTATCTCGGCCTTATCATACTCTAATGAAGACAGTAGAGAGCTTATGATCAGCCGTTTATTTCCTGTGGGCTCATTAAAATGCCATGATGGGATAAAGATTTGCATCTGCTCACCAAGAGAGTTATAAAAAGCCATTGCCAATTGCGACTTGATGTAGATACTTTTTTTAAAGTGAACTTCAAGCGGTTGCATGATTCTCCAAAACACGCTCGGTGGCAGCTGAATCTCAAGCGCTAATCGGGCTAAGAACAAGTTCTTAACAATACTGATGGGCAATTCTTGATCCAGACGTTCTTTTAGATAATAAAACTGAGAAAAAGGAAACTTTGTCAGGCAAATCATCTGTGTATATTGAGGAAGAAATGCTTTTCTTTCACTAACCTGTTTTTGTGTTGATGCCAGTGTACCCAATTGCATCCATGCTGACCAGTTGAATTCATACATTTTGACGGATTCTATCAGTGCTGCAGCGGCCTCTCGTTCCAAATCACGTTTATGCAGAACGACCCCGTACCTTAGTAATACACATCAGTTGGCTGTTAAAACTTACCATAACCTCATTGAAAAAGGAATATCATCATATGTTTTTTTCTTGTCAAGAAAACTTACAGATATAGATTAAACGCATCCAGACTATCTTTTAACGGCCGTAACTCTTGATAAATGCCCTCCAATGCTTCATTTGTCTTTGACCAAGTTTCCGTTGGACCTAGCATCCCGAATCCATTTGCATGTAAATACGTTGGCGAAAGAAATGTGCATAGCTGTTTATTACCTAGTATCTCCTGTGTAGCTTCCTCTTTATGTTTTTCGCCTGCCTGTATACATATACTACTGGTAAATGACGTAATAGTATCGATGATCTTGGAAGAGAGGTATACTTACCAAATAGGTTGCATATAGCCTCAAGAACCGGAGTTTGGGTGATGAGTAACCTTTTAAAGTTGCTGCTACATTATCGAACTGCGACTGTTCAAAGAGTACTTGAGCACGTTGGTATTTGTCATACTCTGTTGCTGTTAGTACTACTGTTTGATCAGAAGCGGTCGTGAGCACAAACAGATTGGACTTGACTGTAAAGTCTCGGTCATTGCTTATTATGTGTTCCGGAATGCCGTCTAAAATTTCTGTTGCCCTGTAACGTTGAATTGGCGAAAGAATCAGAAAACGTGTCCACAAAGAGTTGCAAAGAGTGAGAGAGAGAAAGAAAACGAGCTACCATTTGGTGGAATCGTATAAGCAGTGCTCGTGACAGATCAAGATTGCTTGTTGCAATTGTTGTTTAAACTGAAGAATATCCTGTTCAGTGAACATGGTCTGTATGTATCGCAAGGAAGAAAAACGCGTCGCAGCTAAAAGTTATTAAAACAAAAAAATTGAATAGGGAAAAATTATGCTCTTTTTTTTTGGTTCTTATTTAAAAATTCAAATAGATGGTAGATGCAGCGTAGTTAGGGGGCCAAGGTAATACAAATGAAGAACAGAGAAGAAGGTAGTGTATGTACATAACTAAATAAAGTTGTCTAAGATCGGGGAGGTTATCGTTCGCGTGCGTTTATATGCGTGTTTTCCATTCGTGTACATTGTATGTACTGCTCATGTTGGGATGTTATGAATGGGGGGGGGAGGGGGAGTTATACTTATATCTAGAAGGCATTAATTCTGTTGTGCCAACTTGAGTGAGTGCATGTTGGCCTTTTCCTGGGTCTCAAGACCATTGGCATATTGGAAATCGCCACTAATAAATATTCATCAGTGCAAATTCTTTTTGAATCAAATCATAACAGTACAAGAGGACAAACTCACCTAGTCTCATACTCGTACATGTCCAAGGCAACAACACAGCTTTCGCGCACAACGCGCTCGTCGTCAGCCTTGAACTTGGACAGGGTTTCCAAGACTTCAGGAGTTGCAATGGATCCCAGTGCTTCTGCAGCTTCGTGACGAACCATGTATTGTTCCTGTGCATCCTGCAGGGTTTCAGTCAGGGCAGGCACCGAGGCAGGGTGCTGCAATTGACCAAATACATAGGCAACTTCATGACGGAAGAGAGCTAATAGTAACTGTACCATAAGCTATCAAAGAAACATTGCACATCCATATATACACACACACACAAAAAAAAGCTTACCGCTCTTGTCCTTGAGACCCTTTGCCAACTCCTCAACAGCTTCGGTGTTTCCGATCTCACGCAAACCAAACATGGCACGGTATCTTTCGAAAAGCGGCAAGCTGGTATCCATCAATTGCTGACCAAGCTCCTTGACAGTTTTTACATTGGCGGAAGGTGGTGCAGGATCAACCGAGTTATACAAACTCTTATTCTTTTCTCTTTCTTCCTTATTCTTTGGATCATTATCATAGCGAATCTTTTCGAGAGCCAAGACACATGTTTCCGCAACCGCCTCGCTTGAATCGTTCAAGTACTTTTCGAGAATAGGGATCGACTCGAGGGTACCAATGGCACCCATTGCTTCAGCAGCCTTTTTGTAATGAAAAATTAATACATGTTAATTTTTCATGTGGCGTATAGATGATAGCATTTGTAAACAAGGCAAAATAGAAGAGAAATGTGAGAAAGTAGCTTACCTCATGGCGCACCATTACATCTTCATTGGTGTCTTCCAACACCTTACCGAGAATGTCATTGGCGCGTGGGTTACCGATTTGGCCAAGACAGTACGTCAGTTCGTGCTTCAACAATGCTGATTCATCACTCAGAGCTAGAAAATGCAATCATAATGTTAAGCCCACATTTCTATTTTAATGTACTCGACCAACTTTTTTTTAAGTGTTTCGAGTACACCAAAAAGATATAAATAAAGGTAGTCCGTTATTACCTTTAGCAATAATGTCAATAGAACGATCGTCAGCAATGTTCTTGAGAGTGAAAAGAGCACGGAATCGTTCGGCAAGAGCAACGTTTCCGGGAGTGTTGCAGAGAACGGACTCGAGTTGGTCGTAGTTAACGTTAAGGGTATTTACAGTTTCGCCTTGTTCGCTCATTATAATTTATTCGGATGGGGGCTTGTGGAAAAAAGTGTGTATTCCAAAAAAAAAAGTTTGATTCAGGACCTGAGAAAGCGCTCTGAAGCCGTTGAAGCCACCAATGCTGTTCACGAGAACTCCGATTCGTCAATGCGCGCATCCCAAAGCTCCGCTCACTCCACAATTCAAGTCCGTGTGTTCGGTATACCTGCTTCCAAATAAAAAGCATGGGTTAACTGGTAACAGCAGAGCAGTGCTGGTAGGAGAGACTCATTTAAGCAATTATATGAGAAATTGGTATGACTAGAAGATGTTAGCCGAGTTGGCAAAAAAAGTAAATCAACCTTTTGAAGGACGGGACACATATTGGAGTTTCGCAAATCCACACGATTTGATTAATGATAGTGCTGCCATCATGCGATACATATGCATATTATGTAAGGAGCCATGATATAGTGACGATAGTGAAATTCAGATCCACTACTGTGGATTACGCTGGTCGGCTAGGAGAATAGGATGGCAGCAAGGAAAGTGCTTTTATATGCTTCGATTCTTCCACGCGTTGAATTATCCACCTTAGATGCATGGTTTCCTAGTAATAAGATAACTTTAATTAAAGATGGCCAGAAGATAGACGACATTATTCATCCCAAACCAATAATCAAAAAAGCAGATGCTTCGCTACCAACAGTTTTTTTTTTTTTTTCAGAAGTAGCATTATTTAAGGTTTCTAGTAAATAACAGTGACAGCATACAAATACCTACATGTTAGGCACAACCATGGTTTGTATGTACTGATACCTTGATGTTCAGGAACATAGGTGCTAGCTTTACAATGCAGCGTAAGGATGCATCTTTGCATCATCATAGCCGTAATCATCATTACCATAAAATAAAGACGAGATAGCTGCTGGGGGGTGGGTCTTCTACGTACGGAAGAGGAATTCATGCAATAATAAAAAAAGGGCGAACCCAGTTATTTTAGCTAATCTGCATTGGCTCTTATTTTTTTCCATTCCGCTTGACCCGTTCCCAGTTGTTGAGTGTGCGTGTAAGAATTCCCATGGTAACTCTAAATCTGCCTTTTTTTCTTTCTTTCTAAAGAAGAAACGAAAAGTCAGCGGAACCAAGTTCCTGACGCTTGTTGCTGTTGCTGTGGCCAGCAGACTCAGCAAACTCAAATTAAAAGTTAAATTGGGGGTGATGTTATTACGAAGAAGAAGAAGAGCAAGAAGCGGATCTCAGTGTTATAAAATCCGACAGTATGGATTGGGCTGCTGCTGGCCTGGCCACTTTATTCTTTAGTAGTAGTAGAAAAGCGGGACACGTATCACATATCACCGAGAGCGTGTGAGAGGTGTCTTGATGATAATGGTGGTGGTGGTGATGATGATGATGCATCCTGCATGCATGCACAGGGTATACATGCATCACACAATCCTAAATGTTAGTAAAGCCGTCAATACCAGAGTAATTCAATGACCACAACGTATCCTTCAAAGTTTTCAGGAGGGTCATAATTGCCTATCATCATTGTTACCAACACCAACCCATCACCAATATTTATAAAGTATCCACGCTAAATTACTTTCCGCGTGGTTGTACGATACTGCATTAATCGGAGGAAAAAAAATATGGTCAGCACGTGCTTACCAAGAAAAACAAGAAGAAAACAAAAAATGCAGTGTGTGGGTATATGAAATAGTATATTAACCGAGAGATTGCTTTTTTGGTTTTCTGCAGTAACAAGAGGGGGAGAGAGATTAAAAACACATATTATATATAAATGTATGATATATAGAGAGGGTAGACACCATGTTGTGGAAGGGGAAAGTTTTTATTTTCTTTTTACTTGGGTTCCTGGGGGGTTTTTGTGTGTGTGTGTGTGTGTGTGTGTGTGTCGGGGATGGATTGTTTGGTATGAAAAAGATGATATGAGGTTTGGTGATGGGTAAAAAGGTAAAAATATAAATCAAAAGTTTTTCAGCGATGCCAACTCACGACGCAATTCTGCCGATTCCCGGGTCCACTGGTCCTCTCGCTGCTGAAGAATCGAAATATAGTCCAAAGCTAAACAAAAAGAAAGAAAGAAAGAAAGAGCGTGAGTTCGACCGGTCGATAGGAGGGAGAGCAAGCAGAGAGTTTAAACTTTACCTTTGCTCAAGATTTCCCATTTGCTCGTCTTGAGACCCTTGTCCACCGGCAGGATATCGCGCAGTTCATCGAACAGGTCCTTCATTTCTTTACGCCGCTTGCGCTCTGCAAGTTTGTGACTCACTCGAAGTTCCGGTGACCGCGAATACATTGCTGTGCTGCCTCGCCTTGACATGGAGGCTTCGCCCTGAGGATAATGTTGCGACTGTGGTGGTGGTGGTGGTGGCTGTTGTTGTTGTTCTTGGCGGCTTGTGAGTGGGGGACCTGCGTGGCGCAGTGGATGCGCGCTATTATTATTATTATCATGCTCTTGGTGGAGGTGATGATGATGATGATGGTGGTGGTATTGGTACTGCTGCGGAGGCGAAGGATGGCTTTGCGGCTGTACTCGAGGCGATGATGCAGCCGATGACAGTGGGGAGCCATAATAGGCTCCATTGGACGAAGACGAAACGGCAATCGAGTGTCGTCGAATACTGTCCGAGGGTGACGCTTGTGGCAAGTCGTCAAGCCACATTCCATTGGACAGCGGATGACGCTCTTTTGTTGCAGTTGCTGTTCCTGCTGTGGAAGCAGCAAGTGGTTGTTGTCGGGTTAGATGTGATATAGATGGTAAAGAGTCTCGTCGCCATGGTGACGATGCATGTTGCTGTGGGGACAAATTGGTGCTGCTGTTGCCATGGTATTGGTTGTTGTTGTTGCCGTTGGGCTGCAGTGGTGGCGATGTGAGGAAACGATTGGTGAGATCAGCTTGATCGGATGTCGACGGACGAATGGTGGCGGGTGAAGTGAAACGCTGAGATGGAGAAGGCGGAGGGGAGCTACATAAGAGTGGAGGTCTGCAGGTGGCGTGTAATGCAGGATCCGTCAGGGAGCCTCTCCTTGAGCTAGAGGCACTGGTTGTGCTTGGAGCTGTCCGGTCCAGATGGGAGTAAGGATGGTGTCGAAAGGAGGAGAGAGGAAAGAGCGTCCTCGAGTCTGGATCGAGCGAAGGACGGCGGCTGGACGGTTTTGGTGCGGTGCTGTCGTCGTTAGGGCCAACTGGTTCGTGGGGTGGCGTCGTGTAGTGGTTTGTAAGAAGCATTATATGATAGCAGCAGTAGAAGTAAAAGTAGTAGTAATAGTTAAGCAAACAGCAAGCAACTCATGTACAAAAGAAAGAGGAAAAAAGACAAATTGGTTGGGAAGGGGCAAGCAGCATTATATTTTCCAGCAAAGCGTAGAACTCCGCACAAGATAAAAAACACGTGCTGCAGCCTGCTTGGCTTTTGCCACATGGTTCATTCCATGTCGTGCGCCCTCCTTTTATTACGCTATATACTTGCGGCATACTAATAAGGGCTTATCTTACGTTCTCGTGTGTGGGTGTGTGCGCTACTATTTCCCACAACAACCAAGCACTCAACCTTCTTGTCCCGTGGGTGAATTTCGTCCTGTCTCTGTTCTGTCCTATCCAAACCACCTCCCCCTTCCATACATCAGACACTTGATGATTTTTCTTAGGTCCCTTCAAGCCTCAATTCATCTACAGTAGTTGACAACGTCTGTGATGTGACCACAAAAACACGTGCTACTATGTATCCACCGCCAAAGCGCACTGTGTAAATCTAATGCATGATGTCCTATCCTGAAGAGAAAGAGGGGGGAGGATCCTTCAAGCAAAGGACGGAATAATAATTGGGCCGAGAGTGTTATTTCTGTTGAGCACTACGTGTGTGTGTGTGTGTGTGTGTCGTGCGTGTGCAAGGATAGAGAAAATAAAAGTTTTCAGGTGCGCATGTTGCACGTTTCGGAAACACAATATGAAATGATGGACCTTTCGAACAAGCCCAATTTTGTGATCGCCCAAAAAAAAAATCAGTTACTGTCTGAAAATCATGCCGTTTTCCCTATTTTTTATTTGCAGTGAAGCAGAAAATTATACAATATCCTGTCATCATCGTCGTCGTCATGGTGAATGTTTGTATTATGTACTAACCATGGCAGCAAACAAGTTTGTTCTTGCCGTGGAGGTGCAGTCTAACACGAATGTGGGGTTGGGGATGAGGGAACAGTGCCGAAAGATGCTGACTGTTACTATGCTGTATTTGAAACTTTATCCTTCCTGAGTAGAACTAGAAACCGATAGTCGTTTCACCGCGTCAATGGTGTCACCGTCCTTGTTGCGTCCAGACCAAAAAAGCTTATTTTTGATACAGTATACGAGTGACAGAGATGAGGTTGCGGCGGAGAGCAAAGAAAGTGAGAGTGAGCGCGGGTCTGGATCGTCGATCATTACGATCACTATGTACTTTGTACTTGATACTGTTTAACATATATACCAGCTGGTAGTATTAGGCTAAGGCAAACATTTCTTCCGTTCGACGCTGTATCAGCGTGATAACTGAGAAGAATCCGGAAAGACCTACACATTAGCAACAACAAAAAAAGCATACTGATGGACCATGCATGCACGTAAAAACGTCAATTCCGTAATGACGTTTACAGTGGGCTACATATAAAAAAATGCCCGATTATGTACGTAGCAGTTATAGCCGGGAGGAGAGCGGATGATATTCGCAAAATGGGGGACAATCAGATTTGCCGTATTTATCAAGTTGGTTTTTTCGCTCTCTGCTAACATAAGCACGTGCTAAAGATCATCAGTACGTAATAACAGCAAAAAAAGAGTGTGGTGAACCCCCTCATCTCTCTCACTTCCTTCACTTTTCTTGCTGGCTGCAGATTCCGAAAAAGCGTGAGAAATGTCGGCGCTGTCCGGATGACGCTTGGGGCATCAGTCATCAGGGTCAAGCTGGGTTTGTTCGTTTCCAACAACATGCAAAGCCGAGTCCCCATGAAATCAAAACTTATTTATCAGTAAACTTTTTTTTTCGTGCACATATCAGCAGCAGCAGCAGCTCAACGGTATTTAGTAATCGCACGATGATTGCATCAAGATCGACACTATTAGTTTTTACTGCGGTGACCATAAAAACGGTGCTCTGATCATCATATTCCTTTTTGAATTATCATCATGCAACAGTTGATGATACATCTCTTGATCAAAACTTTATGCATCGTATCATCATCATTAGCTTTAAATGACACTATACTAGCTTCCTTACGATTGTATATGATAATAAGTTACATATTGTTCCGTGACGTCTCATAAACTATAAAGTAGTATATAGTAACCTTCTTTTTTCTATTGGGTCGTTCTGGAGAAGATGGCTCAAAACAGCGTCATAACTGTCAGGTCTCGTGACAACAATCAATATCACCATACATATACTCGTTGGAAACTTGGTTCCCATGGGATGGAGCCGTAATGCTTCTGCTTCTATGATATAGTTGCGGACAGCAGCAGTGTTATCTATATTTTTGATCGAAATGATCATGTGATGACTATTTTTACAAAGAGTGTGCATATACAGAGTTCCGTATGTAGAGAAATGAGAGTGATCCGTCTTGTTCCCTCTCTCCCAGTTACGTGCAATCCGGACAGGATTACACTCTGATAGGAGAAAAAGCCCGCAAAAGATCCGTGCATCAAGTTTCTGTCGATAATATTTTGGGGACGGTTACAATATATTCGGAGCGCTCTTCTTGTGTATCTTATGTTCGTGAACTTAGTATTATTTTTTGTTACCAGTGCATGCGCACCAGATGTAAGCGCTGACTTCCTTGTTGATCGCTTTATCTAATGACGAACGCAACAATATTTATCAAACTCCTTTCCTTTGCAGTTTAATGTAATGACAATCACTGATAGTGTCAAGCAGATAATTCCGATAACCCCAAACAATGTTTCTTCTTTACCATTCTTACTTTTGTCGCAAGTCAATTGATGCTTTTGGCGGGATGGCCACCAACAATTAAAAAGGCCCTTTAATTATTATGTAATACGCCATAAACGGCTGGTATCACCGTCGTAATACTTAACAGGGTGGATCATCCTTAGTCATACACGTGGCATATATTATACATCACTAATCACAACAATATTATCATCATACAACAAATTTTAACACGTCTTACATCATAGGATTGTCTTTTGCTGCGAAGCAGTAAAGAAAATATTGTACATAGCACCCGTCATCCAAGACTAAACAATAGACTACTATCATAACTATATGATGAAATGTCTTCATATCACACATTGACGGTGTTATGTGCTCCAGATGACTCGTGTTTCGCGGCACGGTAAAGCAGTGACGTACTTGATACCCACTATAATAAGCATAAACTTATTCGTCTTGTTGATGGTGGTACCTACTCAACCCCTCCCCACTTCTAGATAAAGACTTCAACATGGTCTGCGTTTCACGTACCACCCCGAATAACTAAAATTTGATATATATGGTGCGTTCGCCTTATAACCGTCAATTTTTTACCTCAGCTTATACTCTGTTATAACGTCCCCAAAAGGCAATTATACAGTCCAACGTGCTTCAAAATATCTTTTTTAACTCGTTTGCTTTCGTTATTGAAGAAAAAAAAACATTCATGTTTGTAAAAAAACATGGGAAGCCAAAAGTTACCGGTTTTTCCCAATTTAGCTGGGCCGGCAGAACTCACGTACCTGAAACAAGAATGAGTAAACAACTCCTATACGTATATATACTCGCCTATCGCCTACGTCCTACACGTCTTTTCTTTTTACCTTTCATTTAAAAGATGCCGCCATTACGACGAAAGCAGAAGGCACCCGAAGAAGGACGCGTGCGCCTGACGGAAGAATCACTGCCCAGTTTCAGGGTATACGCCGATTTTTTATTGCTATTCCTATACATTTTTATTTTTCACCATGTATACCTGTCATTGTTCTTGATGTTCAAACACTTTATAAGGTTTAGTGCTTAAGAATCAAATTGAAACAATATAAAGTCTTGACGGTTATAAGGGGAACGCACCATAAGCTAATTCATCAGTGAATCATAGCGGTCATACATAGCAATCTATAAACTCATTTCTCCTATACATCAAAAGAAAAAAGCGCAGTTAAATTACCTTGAAAGTTTTAATAGAACGAAAATTGACGAAGCAAAACAGTACTGAATAAGATAAACTTTTATAATGACGTTCCAAAGCTAAAAAAGTTGGTCGCGCAGGCCAGATCAGCCCAGGAGCACCATAGGAAGTCCCTGTCAGAATCCCAAAGCGAGAGCAGTCGCTGCTTAACCATGGTGATGAACACGGTTGGGTGAACTTGATCGCAAAAGTAGCAAATAAAATTGAAGTTCAAGACAACCGCCAGTGGTAGTAGATAAATTGTGATGAAAGCACTATTTGCATCGTATCTTTTATATTGTTCTTTCCATTCGTTAATAGCTGCAATATGTGTATGTAGTTTGTACGTTGGATCATGTCTGTAGTTGTTACTGTGTTGAAGATACTGTATATAATAGTATAATAGATCATACATAATACATTCGTTCTTGCCGCTCATAAACTCATTATTATAAATCTAACGAGTATTACTACATACGTTACCCGCATGGTACGTACCATGTAAGCTGTTAAAAATAATGCAGGTTTTTCTTTGTCGAGGGCAGATGTTATTAAAGTTATATCATTGTGTCATTTATGCATACCGATGCTTGTAGCTTTTGTGGTGCAGGGGAACTCCTCCTCGATATTTAAGTTTAAAGCACGATTGACAGCAACATCATCATCATTCATGTACAGAGTATAGTTACTATAACATTTTCGACAAACTCCACGGCCGGTAGCAAAATTGTCGATACTTTCTCACTTGCTGTGTATGTACACGTGGTTATGACTCTACCATGCAAAGGCCGTCGTATCTCTGCATATTATGCAACAGCATTGTTAGCCTTGGATTTCCCGCGCATACAAGAGCTTTAAGTAACATGCACCCTTGATCGCGTCAAACATAGCGCTCATCAGTTCAAACAAGTTGAATCTTGAAAGCTGCTTGTGGCCACTAACTAAAAATTCTGCATATGGATGTGTCGAAGAGAAGCACAGACTCGATCAAATTCATGCGAAGAATGGAGCATTCGATAAAAAAGAGAGAGACGAGGAAGCACTTAATTTGTAAGACCAAATATTCTAGACATATACAGCCACGGTTGCGGCACAATAGTTTTAATTAAGATGACTCGCTTCGAGTACTAGCATTCTTTCTCGAATCGCATTCTCACTTCGCTACTTAAGCATAATTGACACCGTGATGTTTGACTTTACTAGGCGTTAAACCCTCAATCACCTATCTAACAAAATTCACTAGCACCACGCTTATCGCATAACAATCAATCAACCTTTAACCTGTTTGCGAAACTGGAATCAAAGAGACCTGTTGCTGCCGTTCCTTTCAACAACCATTCTTTTAGGCTAATCCTTACGACTTTATCGATTTGCTTAACACCCCGGTCATGTACATCTGACTAGCGTTTCTGCAATGTCATTCACTTACGTTTTCATGAGGCTTTCCACCAACAATCTCGGCGTAATCCCATATATACGTGCCGCTCCAGTTTTTTTAATCTAGGTGTGTACTAGCACCATTCCTTATTGAAAGTTACTAATTATCGATGATTTGCAGGGCTCCCTGTCGGATGTTTCTTTCCTTTGCTGATGTTGAGGATACACCTTGTATTCCAGATTTTCCATTTTCCACAAACAGCAATGACGTCGGTTGTCAAGTAACAGATAAGAAAAAAAGGTTTAGCATGAACACATCAAAGATAATATAGCGGCTAAATATTGAACTACCTATTTTTGAAACAAATGAGTCTACCCACGTTCCTTTGCTGCTTGTGACCTAAGATCGCACACCAAGTGCTATATTTTCACAGTATCCGCTGAGAAAATTTAATAGCTGACGTTTATGGAGGTAATGAAGGACACAGCTAGGTGCGAGAAAAAAGAAACAAAAGAAAGTAAGGGAAAGCATATATATATTTAAAAAAAATTCTCGTGGCAAAAGTATACAAGACCGAACGGCCGTACCGATCCGAACGCTGGTTGGCTGAGATATAAAATATACCCCCAGCAATTGCCGGTCATCTATATTCAGGGCTGCCTGCTACCTATTATCCACATACTAGCAACATTCTGATGGGAAGTCAAGGAGAAAGCTACATATAGTAACTGCGTTTCCTAGGGAACAGAACTGGTTACCATGACAAACCCATTTTTTGAGTTCCCTAGAAACCCATTTCTGGAATCAGTAGTAGCCGCGCTTCGAGGACATGTTGCTTACAGATCCTCTTTTATCCATTGAATATTTTTTACCACAGTTCTCTCACGATTGTAACAGGTTACGTGAGTAGCAATATGCTTTTCAAAGTCAGGTTGCCCAATTCAGACAGTGCACCTCTGTCTCGAATTGTGGGGTCACGCAAAGTGAGACCATCATCACATAAAGCTTTTTTATTTCTCGGCTCTTTGAACTCTCTTATTTTCTTCCCCACCCTCCCTTTTTAACCCCGGACACACCGCACAACCTCCATTACCTCGCATAATGTCGACAGCTGCCGCCGCCCCCATTCCAGCATGGTTAGCCTGGTACCTCGCGCAATTGGCTGCTAATCCTCTCCGTACTAAAGCCTGCACCAGCGGTGTATTGGCCGGTATGCAGGAGCTGACAGCTCAAAAACTTTCCGGTGTCAAGAAGATTGACAAGCGAGTTATCCAAATGGCATTATACGGTAAGCTATATTCTCGAGGGAAACATTGATGAAAATAAACATGAAAAAAGAGATAAAAGGAGGATTATTAAGCTTTGTTTTGACATTATAGGCTTATTTATTTCCGGTCCTCTCAACCACTACTTATACGAGATTATGTACAAGCTACTTGCTGGCAAGAGCCCCAAGCAAGCTAAGATTGGCCAGTTGCTTTTCTCCAACTTTGTCATCTCGCCCACGATGAACTCAGGTATGTGTTGAATTCTGCGAGGATGGGAGAAGAGAGGATGGTATCCATGGATGATGAAAGAGCAGTAAAAATCTTAACGCGGGTTGCAATTGAAATTACACAGTATACCTCACCGCAATGACCATTCTTGCTGGTGGCCGTTCGCTCGCCCAGGTTAAGACCGCTGTCCGTGGTGGTCTTCTTTCTATGCAAAAGGTGTCGTGGTGCGTGTCGCCCGTCACTCTTATTTTCGCACAGAACTTCTTGCCCCAGTACACCTGGGTTCCCTTCTTCCAGATCGTTGCTTTCTGTAAGTTGCACAAAACGAGATTAGATGGGATTTAATGGGACAAGGATAGGTTAAATATGGGATGACTGACGATGGAGGTTCTTCTGTTGATTTATAAGGCGTTGGCACGTACATGAACACCATGATCAAGAAGAAGCGCATGCAGGCAGCGCAGGCAGCCGCCAAGGAAGCTGAGAAGAAGGAGTAAATTTTTGACATCTAGTATATTTCGCACTCTACCTCTTCTTATTATCTCAGCATTTATACTACTTTCTCTATTATGTTGTCATCTTTTATCCCCCTTTGAGTCGAGATCCTTTCGACGCAGCAAACTTAGCCATATAATTATCAGGCAGGTCCATTGTTTCACACTTGTGTGTTTGTATTCATAGAAAAATATACTTTATTATGCAAATGAAGACAAAACAAAAAGAAAGCTTGCATGAATGTTTTGATAGGATGTGTGGAGATGCATGGATGGCGGCGGGAAGAGGGCTTTTTTCTGCAGGTAGAATTAATTGTAGCAATCCAGGATATTACGATCATCATCGGGATGGTTGGGCTCCAGAGAATGCATCATCATCTCTGCATTGATATCCAATGCTTCTTGGTACAAGTGCTCTGGATTGCTTGTTATTTTGAGCTTCTCCAGATCGATGTTTGAAAGTTTTTCCAGAAACAGAGTGTCTTTGTCAGCATCTTCTTGGATGGTCCGTTTTTTGTCATTTCTTTGGATCGGCGCGTAGGCGCTCTGGTTCTCATCCAATATCCGTCGAATGATATCATACGCTTCTGCACGAACCCGTCGTGCCGTTGAGGTGGTCTAGAGTTTTCCTAGCACGTTAGCCCTCTCTTCTTTATAGATGTATACAATTTAAATTAACTGATGCAACATATTCTGCATAACATCATACTACTTACCGCCTCAATGATCCAATAATCACCCTGAAGCATATAGAAGATGGATTGATACTCAGCTTCGCTGCTTTCTGGTTTGTGACGATCGAGTCTCGTGCGCTTATGCTGCTCGCTTTCATGCAGATGAAGCAACCATAAACCATAAAAGAGCCGACACATCCGTATTGTTACTGACGAGTCAGAATCATCCATTCGTGCTGCCACTACTACCGGACTATTAATTACGCATTTGTAAGCCCAATCTGTTCCTTTCTATAGTGTTCACATCCACATATATGATGACTCACTTTAACGACTTTCGATCAGAAGAGGCCATTGACTCAATAACCATTCCTTCACACGACCTGTTTGCTACCAAGCATAGAATAGCGTCCAGCGCTGCTCGTCTTACAAAGGCCTCGGTGTCGTAGAGCATTCCTGGTAGTTCGCTGGCTATTCGACGAGTGTGTTGATTTCTTTGGATGAACATCCATCCGTCTTTACTTTGCATAAGATTCTTGCACAGAAATAGTAAGATTAGGCTGGAGTAAATTGAGAGATTCACTTTATATATGTTTACCTGTAATGCATCCAAAGCAGTTGCGCGTACGTAAGGTTCCCTGTCTGTGATCATATCAAAGACAAGTAAAGGCAATCCATGATCCAAGGCAAATGATACTTTAACATCTGACGTTGGCTAGAAATGTTTATGAGCAACTTGTCACAAAATTGCTTCTGTCTTTTTAAAACTTACCTGCTTAAAAAGAGAGCCTATGAACCCGATGACTGCGTCGCGAATATCCCATTCAGTTTCCAAGAGCTTTAGATTCAGCATGCTTATCAGCGGCTCGGCAATATCCTTGACGACAATAAAATGACCACGTCAACATATTTGAAATCCTTCTGCAATAACGTTTTATCCTTTGATTACCTTTCCTACGATGACAATGCTCAGCTTTTCGTGGCTCAGTAGCTCTTCAAATGTCTCCAAAATAAGTGATACACTTCGACCATCCATGCTACTTGATGAGTCCAATATATCCAGCATCTTGCGCGCTGACTAATCACTGTGATATTAGACATTTGTGGAGCTAGCATTATCCAATTACAAAGAAAAGTGCTTACCAGTTTCATAGTAGCTTGGATCACATCGGTTTCGGCTTTGTTTGCAAAACTGTGTAGCATAGTAAGAATTACTTTCAATGTGGCTTTGAGAACAAGTGGTTCCGAGGATAGATCTTGTTTTGAAAGCACTTTAAACAATTTTTCCAGTGATGCATCCTACATCGCAAACAATGTCTTAAAACTTATTCATAGTTTTAGTATGTCAAAGCACCGGATTTACCATATTGCATGCAGGAAGCGCGATAAACAAAGAGTCCATAGCCCTCAACACAGCTTGAGCCATTGACTTTATCAAATGCGATAGACGATATTCAGATCCTGCTAGAACTCGTAACTAAAACACAGCCATTTTTTAAACAGTTGAAGGTAAGTACTTAAAAAGAAAGTCCTGACAATAAATTACCTTTCTGCCAAGCTCAGTGCCATGATTAACGCAGACATTAAGGATCGTCAGCAGGTCAGCTTGTAAAGCATCGATTTCTGGATTATCGGACGTGGCAAATCGCTGGAGTAAAATCACAGACGATTCTAACAATGAAATAGCAGCAAGTATTTGGTCCGATTTGGATGGATTGGAAATCATTTTGGAAGCTTCGGCAACGATATAGTCATATGCTTAAAATAACACTTTTAGTTACAACGGCGAAGATGTGTTATCGGTATCCATGTGTACTCTACCTAGCTTGATATTGTGTGATTTGTCATCGCTTCCTTGAGCTCCATCGACCAAAAGTGCTAAGGGATTAGGAGTCCACGTAAAAATAACGGACATGATTTCAATAGCGCGAGTGCGAGCCATTCGATTACCCACATTAACCACATGTAATAGCGGCAATAACTAAAGTTAAGGTTAGCCGAAAATTTGGGGGAGATGATCGAAACCTCTCTCTCTCTCTCACATCAACATTGAAGCAAATAAACAAATCATAACTTACAAGACGTTCATTCAGCATGTATGCATAAGTTGCAGAGGTACGTGCATTGGCCATATACCAGCAGAAATCCAAAGCTGGCACCACTGTGGAAAGCTCGTCCTGATTTTGTAACACCAACCTGACCTGCTGCGCTGGATTCAGGATCTGACAAAGCGTCCGAAGCTTCTGGTTATCTTCACCAAGGCTGACTAATTGCTCAAAGATTTTGCAGCTTTCTGAGGATACCTGTCATTGCAGAAAAAGGAAATATTACTTATTACGCTTGACAGCCTGTCTCCGTCACCACTCATTCTGCACCTGCATGCATACACTAGCAACAAAGAAAAGATGCCACATACGTAGGCACTATCGTCCATAAATCCACGGGATATCCCCAGTTTTGCTTCATCATTATTAAGTATCCTAAACATTCGAGTAAAGCAGTACAGTAATGTTGTTATTAGAACTTACTACATCCAATGTTTAGGACTATTTGCATGAATAATGAAACTGTACCATTGAGCTCCGCAAGGTGATTTCAGAAATTTTCTAAAGGCTTCTAGACTGGCGCAACGGACGGCTGGCTCGTTGGATCTGACATCAGCACATAAACGTTTAAGAAGTTGTGGGTACTGGTCCAAAGTTTTGGCAAACATGCGATCTCCTTGCTGCTTTCCGTGGGAGATTAGACTGCCTAGCAATCGATAGCATAACGTGTTCACGCGATAGTCTTGACCTGCTTTCTCGCATGCCTTTTTAATTTGTTTGCAAATAAGCGAATATGAAATATAAAAAAGAGGACTCAGTATATTTTCCAGAACGGCATTCCAAGTAGTTTTCTTATGATAATAAAAAACCGTAAAAGAACGCGATTGTATCTATTGTTTTTAGTTTATGCACCTGGTTTAATATGTCAAGAATCTGCCAGGAATCAAACTGTTCCGTGTAGCCCCTTGCAATGACACTGTCTAGGAACGATAAAACTTTTTCACAAATGGTATCGTCGATCTCCTTAGACATGAGCGGGATTGCCCTCAGCATGCTTTGTGCTCGATCCAGATCGCTGTTCATGACTTTAACTGATTTGAACCCACACACAAAAAAAGTGACGACAAAATGAAATTCGCAGCAGGAGCGCGGCGCGGACTTCAATCTTGGCTTGAGCTTACGTGTCGACCTGCCGGCATTTAAGTGCGTCCGTTTCTTACGCTTTTCCTTTTCTCCCCCAACAACTTTTTCTTGTCCCTTCTCAAATATGTCCTCATCTGATAAAGCTAAACTCTTGTAAGTATACAATAGTTATGGCTATAAAAGGTTTAGAAAGGAAGAACGACTGCCATTTGTGTGAACATGACACGCGTTTGCGGGTCTATGTGATGTGTGGCAGTATGTGCGTCTGTGCTGTGTGTATGAAAGTTCTACCAGTACCTGACATTCTTGGATGCTTGTGCACATGGAACTGATTGGAATGAGAAGGAAAAGGAAAGGTTTCAAAGGAACTGATATAAAAGTGTATTTTCTAACGCCACTGTTCAACTTAATTATTAACTAGACCCAACGCTGGTACTGAAGACCAAGAGGTCGATCCCAACCATGATCCCGCCACCGCTATCCTGCGCCGCAAATCAGCACCTAACAAGCTTATGGTGGATGATGCCACAAATGACGACAACTCTGTAATCACTTTATCCAATGCCACCATGGAGAGCCTTCAGCTCTTCAGAGGTGATACCGTTCTCGTCAAGGGCAAAAAGAGACGTGACACTGTCTTGATCGTCCTTGCTGATGACGAAGTTGAAGACAACAAGGCCAGAGTCAACAAAGGTAAGCTAATTTTTTTCTATATGCGCAGCTGTTGGTACACTTGGGTATTGGAGGATTGCAGTGATGCTGGTGGGCGTTTTGAGAATATTAGGAAGAATGGGATGTTATGGGCGGAAGGTTACGAGCCCCTGTTGTCCTTGTGCCTTGCTTCACCGTTTTTCGCATTTTTAATCATATCTATCACTCTTTTCTAGTCGTCCGTAATAACTTGCGAATCCGATTGGGTGATATCATCAGCATTCACCCTTGTCCAGATATCAAATATGGCAAGCGTATCCACGTCTTGCCCATTGATGATACTGTTGAGGGTATCACCGGCAACTTGTTCGAAACCTACTTGAAGCCCTACTTCTTGGAAGCCTATCGACCTGTCCGTAAGGGCGACTTATTCCTCGTCCGTGGTGGTATGCGTGCTGTAGAATTCAAGGTCGTTGAAACTGACCCCGCAGACTACTGTATTGTAAGTGTATAACGCGCATCAATGAATTTGAAAGAAAAGCCAGCAGAGAGAAAACCGGGTATACTCACCTTGCATGATTGCATTTTGCATAGGTTGCTCAAGACACAATTATCCACTGTGAAGGTGACCCGATCAAGCGTGAGGATGAAGAGCAGAACTTGAACGAAGTTGGTTATGATGACATTGGTGGCTGCCGCAAGCAGATGGCTCAGATTCGTGAATTGGTTGAGCTTCCCCTGCGTCATCCCCAGCTCTTCAAATCGATCGGTATCAAGCCACCCCGTGGTATCCTCATGTACGGTCCTCCTGGTACTGGTAAAACCCTTATCGCAAGAGCCGTTGCAAACGAAACCGGCGCCTTCTTCTTCCTCATCAACGGTCCTGAGATTATGTCGAAGATGGCTGGTGAGTCTGAAAGCAACTTGCGCAAGGCCTTTGAGGAAGCTGAGAAGAACGCTCCTGCTATCATTTTCATTGATGAAATTGATGCCATCGCTCCCAAGCGTGAAAAGGTAAAATCACAGAGACAAAAATTATTGCTGCAATAACAATTCATTAATTTATTTTTTAATAACACTTGTAAAAAATCAGACCAACGGTGAAGTTGAGCGTCGCGTCGTATCACAGTTGCTGACTTTGATGGATGGTATGAAGGCTCGCTCCAACGTTGTTGTCATTGCTGCCACCAACCGTCCCAACTCGATTGATCCCGCCCTTCGCCGTTTTGGCCGTTTCGATCGTGAAGTCGACATTGGCATCCCTGACCCTACTGGCCGTCTCGAAATCTTGCGTATCCATACCAAGAACATGAAGCTTGACGACGAGGTCGATTTAGAACAAATCGCTGCTGAGACCCACGGTTATGTCGGTGCTGATATGGCCTCGCTCTGCTCTGAAGCCGCTATGCAACAGATTCGTGAAAAGATGGACTTGATCGATCTTGAAGAAGAGACCATCGACGCCGAGGTGCTCGATAGCTTGGCTGTCACCATGGAAAACTTCCGAGTAAGTTCTGTTTATCCTTTAAGCTGATAGATATATCGTATAAAGCAGTTGCTTACTTTGTATTGCTATTTTAGTATGCCTTGGGCGTTTCGAACCCATCTGCTCTTCGCGAGACTGTCGTCGAAGTGCCCACTGTCAATTGGAACGACATTGGTGGTCTGGAGAACGTCAAGTTGGAGTTGCAGGAAACTGTCCAATACCCTGTCGAGCATCCTGAAAAGTTCTTGAAGTTCGGCATGAGCCCCTCCAAGGGTGTATTGTTCTACGGTCCCCCTGGTACTGGTAAAACTATGCTTGCCAAGGCCATTGCCAACGAATGCCAGGCCAATTTCATCTCTATTAAGGGTCCCGAGCTGCTCACCATGTGGTTCGGTGAATCTGAAGCCAATGTTCGTGATGTGTTCGACAAGGCTCGTGCTGCCGCTCCTTGTGTGATGTTCTTTGATGAATTGGACTCCATTGCAAAGGCTCGAGGTGGCTCTATGGGTGATGCTGGTGGTGCCGGTGACCGTGTTCTCAACCAGATCCTAACAGAAATGGACGGTATGAACGCAAAGAAGGTAAGATAAAGAGACACAAGCTCTGTGAGGTGTTAGATCGTAGATCCTTACTATTTCTTTTTCTATAGAACGTCTTTGTCATCGGTGCAACCAACCGTCCAGACCAAATCGACCCTGCACTTTTGCGTCCTGGTCGTTTGGATCAGCTCATCTACATTCCTCTTCCTGATGAGAGCTCACGTATGAACATTCTTCAAGCTCAGCTTCGCAAGTCTCCTGTTGCTCCCGACGTTGACTTAAACTACATTGCCAAGAACACCCACGGCTTCTCTGGTGCTGATATTGGCGAAATCTGCCAGCGAGCAGCCAAGCTTGCCATTAGAGAAGACATTGAGCGTGAAATCCAAAAGGAGAAGGAGCGCAAGGCCAAGCAGGAGGCTGGCGAAGACATTGGCATGGACGAAGATGGTGAAGATGATGAGGGTGTTGCATATATCACACGGTAAGTTTCCTCAGGCTCGTTTTTTTTTTTTTGCAAGAATTGCTGTTTGTTTGTTTATAAGAAGAAGGAAAACTCAAAGTCGTGCAAACAAAATAGAGTACATTTCGAAGAAGCGATGCGCTTCGCACGTCGGTCTGTCAGTGATGCAGACATCCGTCGCTATGAGATGTTTGCCCAGAACATGCAGCAACAGCGTGGTTTTGGCACGTTCAAGTTCCCCGAAAGCGGCAACAATGCTGGCCAGCCAATGGATGGCGTAAGCGGCACTGGTGAAAGTGGATTCGGCCAAGAAGGTGGCGACGATGATTTGTACGCGTAAAGACCGGGCGCGCCTTGATATATAAGAAGAAACTACCACAGAATAAACACCCTCACTCTCGCACTCTCAGACAAGACAAGACACAACATCTCTCCATCCCAAACACAATGCTTTCTTTTTCTTCCTTTCTTCCTTTCTATCTTTTCGTTATTCCTTTTGACAATTTACGATGATTTGGAAGAGCAACCCAAAAATAAACTCCCATAAATTTGCGTATACGTGAAAGAAGCCTATTGCGGATTATGCCATTAATGGGTGGTTGTTATGGGTCTTGTCAAAAAGAATTATCTGACCGTGTCTCCTGACCGTCGTTTATCATCTGATGCGTTCATTACATTCGATGGGGGGGGGGAGAGAATCTTGACTTGAAAACCGTAAACTGTTTGAGGTTTGTTATTGTCCTTCCATATATCGGAATGTGCTGCGCTTTTTGCGAGGCACTTGTTTCATTGATGATACAGCAGCAAAAGCAATGTTTTATTCATTGTGAAAGTGTAAAAGAAGGGTATGTATTAGACATGACATGGACAAGGTATACAGATGAAGAAGAAGAAGAAGATCAAGAAGAAACTTTATGAGTACAATAATTGAGACATAGATACAAATTCATGGTGGTCGAGAATCGAGCTAGGCGCATCCTCTACGCTCCCAGGGTATAGCAGATTAATATTATTATCACAGTCAGAAACCGTTCCATAGCCATGTGTTGGCTGTTGTTGCTGGACTTCTACAGCATCGTCGTCATCGCCGTCAGTTTCATCATCGGCATCACCATCGTCTTCTTCTTCTTCGAAATGCAGGTATTGCGTGGTCACTTCGTCGTCCAAGTTGATAACGAGTGGCTGGTGCAATAACTTGGATTCTTCTTGCTCAAGAATAACAGCAGAAGGAGCAACAGTAGCGACATCCGGTGGCTGCTGATGTTGTGGTGGTTGTGGCTGCTGTTGCTGTTGCTGTTGCTGCTGGATGGCTACTAGTTCTTTGAGACTTTCTTCAATTCTGGTCATATCCGCGACGTAGGAGCACTGCGGTTCATCGATGCAGTCTTTTCGCGGCTCGTCGGCCGGATCATATCGCGATGCAAGCAGAGTCGGATAAGAAGTGGACGGAGTCATGTTGGGTGTAAAGAAGTCTTCAGTGTTCTGCAGCTGGAGCAATGTGTCGTCCCAAGCAGATTGCTGCTGTTCCACGTTCCACTGCGTATGATCAAGCACTGCATTGTTGTATAAGGGCTGCTGAGAAGCCATGGCGGGGGCGGGGGCGCCTATAGCGGTGGTGGAAGCGGGATCAGTAGTGAACCAAGGCTGCATCCATGACGTGTTGCTGCTGTCATCAGGAATATATGACATGAAGGCATTGGCATCATCACCAAGATTGAGCTGAGACAAGGGGCGAGTGACATCCAACGTCAGATCCAACAGATCTTGCTGCCATGGCAAATCTGTGGTTGCTGTCGTGGGAACAGTCGTGGTAGTGGTTGTCGTAGATGGCGATGGTTGCTGCTGCTGCTGCTGTTGCTTATCCTTCTTGTGATGAGGCACATATTTGCTGCTGACATCGACACCTGAGTCGTATTCGGATTCGGCATACGATCCCGGCTCCCGGCGCTTCTTTTGCTGCTTTCTTCGTTTGTTGATGCGCTTTTTGTGAAGAGATCCATTTTCGCGCTTTTTGTCGTCCGCTTGATCGTTCATGCGAAAGGTGGTATACAAGGGAGACATCTTGGCGGGTTCCTTGGAAGCCGGAGTCTTTTTCGGTGATTCGTAATCTTCCGGACGCGTGATCAGCATATTGTCATGACTTAATGCGGTGGAACCAAGTACGTCCGTGGCAGGAGCGACGGAAGTAGGACCATAGTAACATGATCCTCGTCGATGTCCCATCGACAGTTCCGCTGTCAATCCGATGTCGTGATGTTTGCGACTATGACCACCAGCCTGAGTCAGATTGTCAATGAAGATCTGTTCGGTTCCAATCACTAGCGTCCAGTAGCAGCCTTTGCCAGGATTGGCTTGCGTAGGACGGCGGTCGAGTTTGAAAAACCACTTCTTGTTCAATGATAGATTATGGCGAATGGAATTCTACATAGGATATATGATTTCTTATAATGAGTTATCTAGTAGCTGATTTGGTCAAGCAGAAAATGATCAAGCTGTTACCTGCCAGCCTTGCTGTCCCAGCACATAATGAGGATAGTTCTCCGAGATCCACTTGTAAATGTCACTCAAAGTCAGGCGACCATCTTTGCTTGTTAGAATAGCGTGTGCAATGAGCGTGGCATACGAGTAGGGCGGCTTCTCGCAAGGATGATTTGGTTTCCACCAAGGAATAATCTGAGTTGGCCAACCCACTCGTGTTCGGGCAGGACACATCTCCAGGTCATCGTCTTCCTCGAGCTGTGTACCAACCGATTCGATCTTGAACCGAAGTTCCGAGGACTTTGCACGCTGTTGTGGCGGGTGTTGCTGGTGCTGCTGCACTCCGGTGGAATTTGAATCGGTGCTGTGTAGCTTTTTACCGTTGCTTCCACGCTTAGGTGTTTCGTGTATGATGGGAAACGATGAAATGATGCCCATACAAGATGACTGCTCGTTATTGTTGCGTTGATTATCATTTGTGCGACTTGTTTTTGTTGGTGGACGGACCAACTGGAAACAAAGCTCAGAAGTCGCTCCAGGTTGGATGTTTATATTATCAGAAACCATTCGAATAAAAAACAGGGGAATTGGAGGAAAAAAGGGGGGTTAGGAGGGTGAGTGAGTAAAGAAGCAAGCGAGCGAGAGAGAAATAGTTTGGAGGAGAGAAGAAAGTGAATCGACAGGAAGGGGAAGTCTTATATAACAGAAATACCATAAAAATGTGCTTCACCAGGTGCTTCACCAAGTAGCACTTGGCGTTTCCAGTACAACCTGCGATGCCGGGACCATTTCCCCAAACCCCTCTTCTCACCTTCGCGTAGCAAGCCATTCAAATCCGTGCCGAAAATGGAGCAGCATCATGTCTCGTGAGCCAACTTAGAACATCAAAGTGAGCACCTTTGTTCTTTCACTTTTTCTTTAAATTAAAATAGTAGCAAATGATTTATTCAGTATCAAAATTTCATATATTGTATGTTCTATCAAGAAGAAAGAAGTACAATGAGGATCTACAGCTTGTACTGGAGCCGACAGAAAGAAGTAGGACCCTTGGGCTTTGCGAAAGGGAGAGGGAACGTTCGGCATGAGCAACATAAGATTACGCCACTTGGTCACCGACTTGGTGCTTGTGCGACCTCAATAAGCGGGATATCGGTGTGTATTAGCTTGACGCACCCGCTTTTGTACACAGCAGCAAACGCTAACGGGACGCTCGTCCGCGTGTTTCATCAGACTGCGCCGAAAGACTGCATTATCATTTACGGACATATACTCTATGCAGTGTGCCATTTTTAGCCAGAGATCGGCTTTGGTGAGCAAGAGCTTGTTCCAAGTTTGGAACATGTGTAAACATTCCTGCTCACGTCGCGAAAATTATAGCATTTCATATAAAAATACAATGAGTAGCGATAGTATAATGCAGGTTGCTGTGAGTTGCTTATTCCAAGAGCGCACGTCGGTTCTAATTACTACCAATTATTAAAAATAATGCGCTATCGCAAGGTGGAATAGATTTCTTTGTCCTTTACGAGAAAGCAAGAACCTGCGTTTCCACAGTAACAACTAAACTCAATGCTCAAAACAGCGCCTTTTTTTTGTTCCGCATGAGGGTTCATCATCATGAAGGTGATACCGTCCCTCTCTCAACACAGACAAAGCTGGGTAACCATAAACAAATAAATCGTCTATTTGTTTGCTATCACCATGTCAAGTAAGAAAAACTAAATGTAGCCTATCCGTTTTACTTTTTTTGTTTCAATAAAAAATTTCGTCTTTTTGCATTTCATCCACCCAATGTGACCATGACATGCTCAAAATACGCAGTAACAAAAGAGAAGCATATGTAGTGTACAACGTAGTTGTATGTAAATAGCCCCTGAATTGCCTCAGATTCTCCTCATTTTTCCTCACACGATGAAACGATATAAAATAGTGCACACACATCATCATTATGAACTCAAAATGCAACTTTTTCCAAACTGCGCAATCCGGATACGCTAGTATCATTATCTTTTCATTGCGCACTACTAGTTCGAACATAGAAGAAGAAAGATTATGGGTGCTGTCGCACACACGAATTTCGGCTTACTATAACATGAACGTGTGTACAAAAAGTGCTTCTCTCCTCTTCCTGCAGTTAGTCGAATGACACCATGAAGGCGTTTTTTGTGCATCACCACATGACAGACCCCCATCAAGCGTTCGTCGTCTTGTCGCTCGTTTGTACCTGCGCGAGACAATGCCGCAAAACTGGACCCCAGTTGCGATACTAATTGCACCTTACACTAGTTATTTCTAAAACCCTATGACGAATGATCGTGTTGATAAAAGATAGGAGAACTAATAGTAGTAGCGCTAATAGTGGTAGTGAAGAAATAAAAGCTAATCGATGTGTGCTTACATCATTTCTATAGATAACTTATTAGCCGATTCTTCTGCTAAGTACTGATAGCTGCAGATGCTGCTTTGTTCTCCAAGTAAACGGCGCGATCATTGTGTCTAATGTAGGTGTGAGGGTGCTGCATAGTATATGTATCTTTCCTTCAGAGTTCGTAATAACCGATTTTGATACAGTGAACAAGTGCAGATCGGTTATGATCACTTGGATGTTCTCATGAGCAATACTGCATCTACAGCCTTCTTCGTTTGCTCTCCTCGTGCCCTGGGCGTTTAAAGGTTTCCTTTGAACTCGAAAAGGCCACATTCACAATTGAAAAAAAAGTATAGTCGAGTCAACCGTCGATAAAGCGTTATTTGTCATATTACCAGCGGTGCCAGTTACATAGTTTATAAATGTAATGAACTCCCGAGAAACTTGTAGTCGGCTAGTATTATACCAGCAGTAAAAGTGATTTCTTGACGCTATCACTGCGTTCCTTTCGATATCCACGCTGTTATCGTTTAATGATGCTCGGCCGTCGTATAAACTGACGACTTAAAGTCGCATAATGGTCTATGCAGTCGAAGATGTTATTGCAGAGACAAGGCCACAAATGGTGGTGTGTTTTCTTTCTCACAAGTATAAGCGGTTAGCGCTTAATCATCCTTCGCCATCATGCGGTTGCCACTAAAAATACCCAAAACGTTTTGTGGAGCTCTCTGTGCAACGTGGTCATTGCTGATGTGAACTTGTCATTTACTATGCCATTATAATATGCTATTACAGACGTGCTTCTTCTGTACATAAGTACCAGAAACCATCAACAGATGCGGTGACATGTGTGAAATGGGATTACTAGTTTCTTACAATGAATAACTTGACTATATATACAGTAATATCCACAAATGTACGCATGGGAGTACTTTCTCATTACAGTGCCATGGTGCAGCATTAATAGTATACTCGCTTCTAAAAAAACTGTATGGTAAGCACTCGCTAATACACGTACTTGTACATCCAAGTACCTTTTCTTTAACACATTACAATTGTGGCGAAGCTAGCGGGGAAGTACAATCCCTTTTTTGCTTTTTCCTTTTGCGCGTGTGCAAGCCAAGCGCTATCTGAGAGGGTGCTTAACATATGGTAACCACCACTTCTGCGATAATTAAAATATCATAATAGAACATTACAATATAACGGCGTGAGCACAGATGGTCGTACCTTTCTTGTTTGTGTATAGAGTCACTGTATGTTTGCGAAGCGTTTGCCAAACAATTGAACATGATTCGTGGCATCTTGTCAGATTTTTAAGCCTTATCGCTCTCCTGATTTCCGGTTTCGAATAAACAATTTGCGAGCACTTTAGCGGAAAATAATGTCACACAAAAACTAGCCACTACCCTAGTTCGGCGATTCCAACTAGAGCACTATAGCAGTATCGGATAGCCATCGCGGTAAATGCCACTCTTCTACTTTCAATAGCAGGCTACCAAGTCTTTCGAAATGGAGATACTAACAGTAGCAACACCTGCAGATTGTTTCGCTTTGTGAGAAATAACGATATTTTTGAGCACAAAACTTCCGTCAGATATATAGAATCTGAAGAAGATGCGGCTCAGCGAGAACCCGTACTCATTTAGACAGTATGGCGCAGTCGCACAATGTTACTTGATATGGCTCCAGTGTGCCTTTACAGCCCCATTTTTTTTCGCTTCATTTTCTACACCTCTTTCGCATCCATCCTTTTTTTCTGCTTTCTCTACTGTATTCCTAATAGTTGTTTTCTGAGCCTAAAGCGAATTGCAATGGACACGACGCATTCGCCTCTTAATGACAGTCAAATTGAGGGTAGCTCGGTAGTCTCCCACTCACAAAAGAGAGGTCAAAGAAACTTAACAGAAGCCACTGAGCAAAGTAGCGAAATGGATGCGGCTCTTCAAAAAGATGCAGATGTAAAATACTCCAATGAAAAAAAGGTTTGTGAGATAATAACCAACTTTCAGTGGATCATATCCATCCGGTACCGTCTTCTCACCTTGGTCAAAAAGTATCTAATTGCATCTTTTGAATTATTTCTTGTATGATTTATCTATCTGCTGCCAATAGGAGAAACCAAAAAAGACAACAACGGCCTTCATGACAAAGCTATCGAATGCTCGTGATCTTCTCGGCATGGTTTTCTTACCAATCATGAACGTAGTTTTGTCACTCATCCTGATGGGCTTGCTTATCTATGTTTACATTAACGCAAACGGTCAACCACTGGACTATACCATGGGCAAGATGAAAATACCCTCAGTAATATCATTGCTTACGACACTTCTCAAAATGTGTATAGCAGGTGGTATTGGCTAGTACGTTAGCGAACTCACAATTTTTGTGTTTTTCAGAGTTATTACAGTTGTACAAGTTTGATCTGACAATGCATTTTATAGTGCTGTGTCTGAATATAAATGGGTGCGTCTGCAGGATGGCGGGGCTCTCAGCTTGCTTGACGTTTACGACGCATGCACTCGAGGAGTTGGCGGTATTGTTATAGCATAGAGTAGTTGTAACCTTTCTTCGCAGTGATACTTACACATTTTAATTTGATGTTTCCAGGTGCCATCCGTGTCATGCTATCGATCCGCCTCGACTACATAATCTTACCGGCAGTGATATTCCAACTCGGCCTTATTACGATTGGTCCAGCTACACAAGTCGTGCTCACTACCTACGCGGACCAAACTAATTGCACAAGTCCCACTGAAATGTACAATGGACGAATGCATTTCAACAATTTTTCTCTAAACGACTTATCATCGTTCGGCTATCCCTTTGATCAGCGCCTCAATTATGGCTTGAAAAAGCAATATGTTGTCATCTTTGGCTTCGACTCAACACCGTATCAAACAGCCATGCCACTTAACTACTGGTATATGGTAAACTCGACAGGCTTGACGTTCGCAGATATTCCTATGTTCTACACGGACATCGAATGTCAAGACGGGACTTTCGACGAAACTCAAATCATAAGCCCAACGACAAGAACTGCTATTACCTTGGCTGAATTTTACGGCAGTACGCAGCCCGTCGCTCCGCGTGTATACTACGCTGGCTCTATGTACAATAGGACGATTTATGATATACAGCATGCCAGAGTACCTTCGTTGATGAATGACGAATTCAATCCAGCACTCCGCGCCTTTGTAGGAGATCAGACATTTGTTGCGCTGTCGCATCAAGGACGGGCTTCAAAGGAAACGATAGAGCGGCCGGAAGACGCATTTGTCCAAGAATGCACCATTCGTACACACATGGCGCTCAACAACATTACGACAGGAACAGGAGGTGGTTTCTTCTTTGAGCCTGGCCCAAGAGAGCCTATTGAAATGGATTACGACCTCTTGATTAACTCATCATTCTGGTACGATCATCCTCTTGGTCCAGCACGAGCCATGCAAAACGCTTACGCCTATCAACTGACACTTATGGCAGCGATGACCGGATTCAGAGAAAGCGCGTTTCAAGACCGATTGGCAGACACCTGGGCAAGCAATAACCCTGACCGCAATACGCTCGAGAATTTTTTGCGTGCCGCATTTAACCAGAGCGACGTGGCACTGTCTATTGTCAATCCCACGACTGCCACATCCGTTGTATACGCCCATGCCTGCTATCCCATAGATCCAGTGTATACTTTGAATGCACCATCATTTTACACCGTGTCGTTGATAGCAATTCTGCCTTTACTTTGGTGGGTCATCATGTGGATCATCAGTCTCTATCAGACAAACGGCGTCTCCCGCGGCAATTCACAGATTGCGCTGCTTGTCACTGGGTTCACAAAAAAAGCGGCCGAGCAATTTAAAGGATATTCGCACGCAGGTCAGCGGACCCTCTTCCAGAAAGCCAGCACAGTCGACGTTACATTCGGTGAAGTCAAAAGAATGGACAACAAATCCGGGCACATTGCATTCGGTCTAGAGAACGAGCTTCATCCACTCAGAGCTCGCCGGAGGTCGATTTCCAGAGCATAAATCTTTTCATTGCTAATAAACTTTTTTTTTAACTGGATTAGGCATCCAATGCTATCTATAAACTGTCATTTAGCATGCATGTCCTTGTATGGTCATCTTTTTCCCGCGAATACTTTGATTCATATATTCTGGAAACAAGTCTACTTTATCATTGCTTGTCCCGCTCTCCTAATGATGTAACATGTAAATGAAAATTTGCACGTGGCTGACGAAAAAAGAATATATTTGGAGACAAACAAAGATATACTTTCTGCACTAAACCATTTGAGTGATGAGTGTCGTATTGCAAACACCTGCATACTTGACCATTCAGGGGAAAGGTTAGTGGAGGTACAAAGGGTAAAAAAGGTGGGGGAAGAACAAACAACGAAATGCAGGATTCATTGTTACTGAGGGAACAAGGCATGCAGCAATGGAGATTTCTGTAGCGCACACAACTCCTTTCGTCAGTTGTCATCCGATTACGGTGCTTTTTGCCGCGAAAAGGCCAAAAAAAGCTTTACACTGCTTTTCATGGAATGCACTGGCCATATTGGGAAAACATATTATTTTTGTGCGACCTTCTGTCCTGCGGAGTCGCTGCACTTGAATAATGAATAGAATATTAGGAAACCCAATTAAAAAACTGATTTAGGAATTAAGCATGTATAAGGCAATGTATTGCAAAACGGATAACGCAACGTGCAGACACCGTTGTCATTCTTGGTATTACTGCTCCTTTAAGAAACACATGTCATCACAGTGGACTGAAGAGTAAGCTTGATTGTTTTGTTGTTGGCGATGTCTAAACTATGTTACACCATCATTGTAAGAGAGAAAGAGATACTGCGTTTTTTTTTCAAAGAATTGAGCACAACATAAATTAAACGAGTACAGTACGATAAATATTTAATGACAAGCAAAGGTAAAAGACGACTTGTCAAGCGAATGATGTTTGGATGAATTGAAAGCGAAAAAGTGAGATGGTTGGGGTGGAGGAAAGAGGGCTGGACAGGGTAGAGAGGAGAGCGGCTATAAATCAAAGCTTCGACTCATTATACTGGAGAAGGTTTACAGTGACAGGAACGGAAATGAGACTTTTAAAGGTAGTTGAGGAGCTTGCAATTGCCACCTTCGTAGATATCAACCTTGGTGGTGCGATGTTTCTTGTCCAATGATTCGTAGTTGGACATTTCGTAAACGTAGAAATCAATGTGCTTGGATTCGAAGCTCCAGCTTTGATCTATGAATAGCAACGCGCGTGAGTTTAAGGAACCGTGGTCTTTTTTTTTACAGTTTGAAGTTGTACGAACCATCAACCAATAAACAGCCATTGTGCTTCTTGTTGGAGTTGGGAAGGGACCAACCATCGAGCTGAGGAACATAGATCTTGGTGTTCTTTTCAAGATCGTTAGCAGCGATACTGATGTAGGGACGGAGAGCAGAGCCATAAGCTAGTACAAGGTACAAAAAGCAGTTAGAGAATGTGCATTCTATGTGGATGTTTGAGAATGTCGAAAATACATGTGCACCTACCAGTGATACCATAGGGTTCTTCAGAGCGGTCGATTTCTTGGAAACACTGGTAGTTGCTGCAGGAGCAGCCACCAAGGTTGACAATCTTGTTACCAACGACACCAGTGCCTTCCATGACGAGGGCATCAGCGTAGTTTTCATTGACCTTGGCAATGGTCTTACCACCGCAGGTCTTAATGGGGACCTTCTTACCACCTGGGTTGTCTTCAGCCTGAGCAATCCAGTAGTAGGTGAAAGAAGAGTCGCTCTGGAGCTTCTTGCGCTTCTCAGAGCCGCTGGACGATGACGAGCTGCTGGACTTGGTGGTCTTGGAAGCCAAGTTGCTGACCTTGGAGGAAACGGTGCTGGCCTTCTTAGAGGAGGAGGACGACTTGGAGGACGACTTGGAGGACGATTTGGAGGACGACGAATCGTCATCCGAAGAAGACGAGGAAGAACCGCCGGCAACGCAGTAGTATTTGCCGTCGTTAAGGTTGTCGCACGAACCACTGTGAACTTGAGGGTTCATGTCGTAGAACTCGCTCAGGGAGATGCCGTACTTCTTGGCAACGGAAATGCAGCTGTCCGAGCTGGTAACTAGTGTGTAAAACAAAGGATGAGGAAAGGTATCAGTGAATCTGTACAATCATCACGATTATAGGTAAGTCAGATATCTGTATCATCTTTCATACCTTTGTGCTTCTTGCTGCAGCCGGACGAGTCAGAGGAACCGGATGAGGACGAGCCTTCTTCAACACAGTACTTTTTATTGATGTGCAAGTTGGTGCACTTGCTGTTAATCTGATCGTTCAAGGACATGAACTTGTCGGTGGAGATGCCATACTCCTTAGCAATAGCCTGGCAGGTATCACCGCTGGAGACTGGCATTTACAAAAGAAATTGGATAATTTGCGGTGAGTTATTGATCTAACACAATCAAGGAAGGTGGATAAGTAGTCATAAGAAGCTTACCGGTGTAGTACTCGGCACAACCAGTACCACGCTTCTTGAGCGAGATCAACTTGGAGGAAACATCGTCAGCTTCGACGAGTTTGAATGGGGCTTCAGGCGCATCATCGCTGTCAAAGGCGGCAAGGTAATTGGCAGAGATCTTGATAGTCTCGCCCTTGGTACCGTGAACAACAGCGAGAGGCTCGGCGCTGGCGGTGAACTGGTTGCTAGTGAAGGCGAGGAGACCGAATGTGGCCAAAGTGATAGCTCGTTGCAAAAGCATTGCGATAGAGGGACGTCAAGCTAATTATACAGTAGGGAGGGGGGATAGAAAGGAAGATAAAAGAACGGTCAGCGCCTGGCTGTTACACGACAAGTGATAGGGTCTAAGAAGTTTAAAAGAAAGGAATGGGGGTTTGTTTTTCGCAAAACAAAAAAAAGTTGAAAGAAGTGTTGACAAGAGGAAAGGAAGAGAGGTTGTTGAGGATGGGCGCAAGCAGAGTATTTAAACAAAACGGTGAGGGTGTTGGAATAGGGCGGCTGAGCTGTTGCAAATTTCGAGGTCTAAGGTAGGACAAGCATAGATTGCATTGCTCTATTGAAGCAGCCTTGTGTCGCCCAATATACTTCCGCTTCTTCCACCCGGTGCACAATCCCGCCCAATATGTTCTTATTTGTCGTGTTCAGTTCTTTATTTCTCTTTATCCGGCGCAATTCGACAATCGAAGGGCGGGATATAGCCATTTCAAGTTATAACTGCTTTTGAAGAAAACCCTGGAAAAGCGAGACCAGTCGTGAGTCAATGGCGATCACTTCTTGTCGCTGTGAAGAAGCCTATTGAGCGTTTCTTTTTTGACGCTCTTACTATATCTCCTCTGTCTGCTTTCGCCTCCCCCCCTCCTCCAACTCGCAGCTACGATACAAAATAAACGGCCTTATTGCTTTTTGCGCCCTCTGAAATTGTTGAACAGCCGAAAATGGCCCTTTCCTATTACAACTCGGTGTAACTGCCAGCCCAGCCAGAAAAAAAAACCCGTTTCTGCCTTTGCAACAGGTTACGCCTTGTGGACCTATGATTTCGTACTCTGGTAAAACTCGCAGCGTTACCAAAAAAAACACCCCCACTCCAGGCTCCAAAGAGAAATCTTATTCTTCTGGTCTCCAAATAAAAATTAAGCTAGTTTCTAACGTGCACAGTATGCCTCTTTGACTTGACAAAATGAAATTCACTCGACGTTCCAGATTGTCGTTTTTCTGTTGCTTTCTTTCATGAACGATGTATCCTTTTATTGTACGCTGCAAAAGATCGGTAAATAGTATGTATATTACATCTCACTTTGTCCTACGTCATATAAGCCCTTGTCCAATCCATGGCGTCCTCAATTTATTTTCGGGCGGGCAACAACAACTTTTTCTCTCTCGCTCACACACCCGTCTCTCTGCCTGCGCCTAGTATATATGGTAATCGATCTATTCTTAACTTCAATCCAAGCCATCCACCCCCCCCATCAATTGATATCTCAAGCTCACAAGTCGACTCTTCAAGCTGATAAAAGCAGCTTGTTCTTTGTCTCTTCTGCGAATTCGCTGGTTACACGCCCAAAGACATTGTGGCAAAAGTAAAATGATAACTTCAAAGGGAAACATCCTTTCTTGGATCCAATGGCTTCGAGGGGAGAGAACCCGACAATTTCCATTTATGCATAATTGATCCAGATATAAAAATCACAAGCTACATGCACTTTCAAAGATACAAAAGGTGCTTTGGCGCGTTGACCAGTGCCGTTTGTGGTTAAACGCACGATGTCCTTCGCTCGTGTGCCTTAGCATTCGGTCTTTCAATTACACGGGTTCTCGCGCGTTTGACTTTATTTTTTTTTTTTTGGTTTAACGTGCTACGATATCACTTTATCACCACCACTACCACCGCCTACTTACCTATGAAGCATGGTGGACGTTGATCTGAGACATCGGCCTATATTCATATGCCATATAATTTCACAAATAAGTACGACACACAACGCTACAATTAAGCAAACGCAAAAACTTTCTCCTAATGAACGATCAACCAAGGTCAAAAAAGTGAGGTACAAAAGCGATCAGAGCAAAATGCTGCCATGACAACGCGATTCACTCAACGGTGGGTTTCCCTAGTATCCATGGCATTGTTGTCCAGCAACAGAATGAGACGAATGGAAAATTTAAAGGACGTAGTGTGTGGCTAGGTACATGGATATTTTTTTTTTTTGGGTGGGGTTACAAACCCGGTAATATCCGCATAAAAATTGACCGTTGTACACATTTATAATAGATGACAGCACGGGCATCATTCGAGTGGTACTGTCTCCGCGTCTGTGTCGCAGGCCGGATATTACGCAGTTCACGTTTTCATCCTCTGTTTCTGTTTTTGGGGCAATTGAATGGACCAGTAGTGGCGAGGCGTTTGTTCGTTGTGGAGGGTAAAAGGAGTGATCATATCTTTACGTGTGTAGGATTAATCGTGGTGAACCGTAGGCCAATGTCTCGTTTGTCTTATCTACAGGTTCCATGTCGACCATGACCCCATCCGTGAAATCTACCATTGGATTAAAGTGATGCAAGTAAACAAGCTGGATATGCGAATGCCTGCTGACGATAACCATGATGGCCTGGCAAAGTCAAGCTCTTCATCGAATCACGTACTCAGTGAAAAGTTCCAGACGTTGTTCTCACAGCCATCACCAACATCACCTGGACCAGTGTCGCCGCTCATCAAAAACCATGACAGCTATCACAGCAACAGCAGCAGCTTTCTCGACAACTTTGACAGTCAAGAATTCAATTGGTCGCCAGATCATCCGTTCGCATCTTCCACACCCATTAGCCGCTTACCACACCTCGCAAATGGTGACAGAGGAGACGAAAATACACATGAAGGATCCCCTTTACGATACCCCGTACAAAGAGTAACACTTGCCGAAAAACAAGACATGGCGGACGACGATGACGACGACGATGAGGAGTTTGGGTTTGACGATGACTCGGCGCTGGATAACTTTGATATGAGTGCATTCGAAGAAAAAGCGCTGGACTCAAGGAAACGGACATTAGATGACGCTTTGAACGATTGATTCATAATACATTCGCTGTTTCTGGTTCACAATCTGAGTTTTTGCCTGCTTTGTTTTTTCTTTTTTACCCTATCCCATAGTGCCTGTGGTCGATATTTCGAGTTTGTTGACAGGCTCGACAGCCTCTTTTGTTACTTTGCTTTTAGACAAGAGAGAAAGAATAGCACAATGGCGACTGCCCTGAAACAGCCTATAATCAAGCAGCTGACACTAGCTTTACTAAAGCCAGACATTTGCGCCGATGCAGCATTACCACCAAAGATCTACCAGGCACTCAATGCAAAGAATTTAGACATTGTGCAGCAACGACAAGTGCTTTGGACCGAAGAGGATGCTGGGTCCTTTTATGCAGAGCATAAAGGGAAATTCTTCTATCAGCGGCTGTGTGGATACATGACGAGGTAAGCAGGCACAGCTTTTGTTGAGTTTAGGGTTCCTGGTCTTTTTTTTTTTGGCTAAGCTTGTCAATTGCTGGCATACAGTGGCCCCTTCCAAGCATTGATATTATCTTCTCCAAATGCTATCAAGGAATGGCGAGCATTGATAGGTCCTACTCATCCTGTCCGGTAAGTTAGCAGATATTGCCAGTAACAGCGATAGCATTGGGGGGCGCAAACCTTAATAAATGAAAAATATATAGTGCCCGTATCCATCAACCAACCACCCTTCGAGCATTGTATGGCTTGACTGATACCCGAAACTCATTCCATGGATCAGGTAATATCTGCAGCTCTGTTTTGGGGGCAATTGTGTCCAATTTATTAATGACTCTGTGCGCTTCCAATAGATTCGGATGAAACAGCAAAGAATGAGATTGGCCTCTTTTTTCCCGAGTTTGATGTGGATGCATGGCATAGAAACAACAACAGCAACAATTAAAGTATATATAATAATGTTTTGTACATAATCAACCCAATTCCAAGATGTGCATATTTGTTTGTGTATAATAAAATAGCCCTTCTAGGGCATTTTCGCAGCGGGGCTGACAGATTAATTGGCCACATCCCACATCAGTCTAATTTTTTCAAAGTCCATGTTTGATATCACCCCTGTACAGTAGTAGTGGATCATTGATGCCGGTGATGAATCAAGAAGACACATCATGTGCGAATTAGTATATTGGACGAAGAAAAATAAAAAAAAATGGTGTCGTCGAAAGACATGCTGCAAGTACAGAAGCGGACGATGTATGAGCTGCATGAACGGGCTACATGCCGAAACTATTCTTTAGCAGTAAAGCTACATAGTGTTGTCTCCACTTTATTGTAAACAAGAAATCGCATAAACTCTCCCAGTGTATGAATTTCAATGCAAGGGTGCTCATATAAAGGAAGAACACCAAGGTAGTGAGAATGAAGTGATAGCACAAGCGTGGTCTGATATGATAAATAGTTCATGTGGGCTAGAATCCAAGAAAGGTGACCAGCTCCAACAAAATCTATTGGCTGCCTTTACTTCCCCCGGATTTCTCTATCCCGCACTACATATCACGCGCAGCTTCTGCCAGGTTTTTTTATTCTTTTTGCATCTCTCTTCTTGGCAAGCAGATAAAAGAAGTATGAATCCCGAATAGTATGTATACATTGATGTCGTTGTTCGGCAGGACATGAAAATAATACTTTAGGATGACAACATCTTTGCTGTCTGCATCCGCCACTAATACGCATTGAATAGCGACTACCTTTTCAAACTACTCCTCATTGGTGATTCCGGCGTTGGTGCGTATAAAAGAAACTGTATACCTTCAAGTACTTTTCTCACATTATTTTTTTATATTTAAAAACAGGCAAATCGTGTCTTTTGCTTCGTTTTGCCGACGATACGTATACCGAATCATATATTTCTACTATCGGCGTGGATTTCGTAATTATTATTTGTTACTTTTGGTTAATGAGGAGAGATGATGTTGGGAGTGGGGTGTTGTGGCAAAGGAGGCAAAGTGGAGGGAGGGGTGTGTGTATGGGCCACCTCACAGCAGGAGGGTCTGTAGGAAGAACAGGGAGACTTACCGTTGTACATGCTTATAGAAAATCCGAACCATCGAACTCGAAGGCAAGACAGTCAAGTTGCAGATAGTAAGTTGGAGAGAAGGATGGCGACAAGAAAGGGCTCAACTGGATATAAGAGTAGTTGGGAACTGATGAGACTAAATATGTATGTTTTGATTAACTCTAGTGGGATACTGCAGGCCAGGAACGTTTCCGTACCATCACATCATCGTACTATAGAGGCGCACACGGCATCATTGTTGTATACGACGTAACGGATCAAGATACCTTCAACAATGTCAGGCAGTGGTTGCAAGAAATCGACAGATACGCAGCAGAAGGTGTCAACAAGCTTCTTGTCGGCAACAAGAGTGACATGACGGACAAGAAGGTCGTGGAAACCGAGCAGGCAAAGGTACAGTTTTTCTAGGGGAGAAACCTAGCTTTCCAGCAATCCATGCGCTATTAGCTAATCCTCTCATATGAAACAATATCAGGAAATGGCCGAATCGTTGAACATACCCTTCTTAGAGACCTCGGCCAAGAACTCTGACAATGTCGAACAGGCTTTCTTGACAATGGCTAAACAAATCAAGGACAGAATGGGTACCACCATGCAGCAACAGCAACCAAAGTCAACTGTCAAGGTCGGCCAGGGCGCATCTGTACAGCCCAAGCAGTCTGGTGGATGCTGCTAAATGGACGAATTCAATTTCTATACTCTGTTTCTCTCTTGACTTGCCATCCTCAAGGTTCCTACCATCACCCCCTCTTCCCATCACATTCCCCTGCGACTGCCACCCTTCCTCAATCCTTCCCTCTTACACAACTTTTCTAATAAACAATCTCAGCGTTTTGACCGGTTATAGTTATTGTGTTTTGATGTGGGACAACAAAGTCATTACAAACATGTGAAGAATTAACCCTGGTTTCACCAGATCGACAGGCTTACGTGGCCATCGTCGGTATGTAGTGTCGTGGTGGTCCTTGAAAGCATATCTTTTACACTCTTCTTTCTGCATACATGTTAACACCTATCCAATGGTTGTGACGAATTAGATGTATTGAAGGCGGGGATTCTCAACTGCTTAAAAGTCGTTTTTATGTGATTTATTGATCAGTAACATACTATTACACCTTACTGTACTATCATCTTAATGATTTGAGACTCATAGCAGACCCAGAGGCGAAGGGTAGACTTTTAGCCGCAATATCAGACATACGGTTTGCATTATGCCATAGTACCGCATTGTTCGGCAGCTATCATCTTTACAAGATATATACAGCTTCAATTACATAGCAGCATATGTTCAACTGCATACACATCCAATACTATAGCTACAATTAAAAATCTTACTCACTATGCTTCGGACCACGGAAGAAAAAAAAAGTATGCTCAATAGAACTTCCATGGCACTTATTGCTAATAATATTGACTTAATTATTGGCATTGCAGTGTCGAATTATGATATCACATATATCTCAAAGATTACATCGACAAGTGTCCCGCGCACCACTCATTTCTCCAGCAGCACGAGAACACAAACAGTACATCTACCATTACATGATGAACGCTATTATTATTGTCAAGTATGATAATGAGCTGCTGTATAATACAAACTCGAAGAGTACTGGTCTTTCCGCTGAATAGAACAATAGTTGATAAAAACAGAAAACCAGCGCTTTCTTGACCTTTTTTCGTGTCTCTATCCTTTTCCACACAAGACATATTTTGCCTGTTCGTTAAAGAAATGGAGCAATCATGCTACTTTCTCACTCTGTGCGACGATCGACAGGAAAAACAGTATATTTAGGTGCTCAAACGAATAATTACTAGGCTCATCAAATAGCTAGACAATTACCTTAAAGCTGTTCTTTAAATGAAAAAGGCAGCAGAATACCAAAAATATTAACGAGACAGTGATGATGTTTATTTCATGCAGCGCGTTTTCCTTCATTTTTTTTATTCAAAAAACCAAGTATCACTGTTATCTCAAACAAGGAGACCCGCAAAAAGCAACAAGCTAATTTCAATGATCAGTTGTGGTCGTTGTTGCCGTTGCTGTAGGTAGCTACTGTAGTAAGTAGGTTTTCTTTGAGAAACGCTATATGTCTTACAGGACTATCCGAAATTGGCTTGTACCACGACATACACATCCCGTCGTTGCTTATTGTACTCGCTGTGGTTAATTAAATCTTACTTCCCTCTTCCACTCTTTATGCCACTGACCTTTCGATGTCGAGCACTCAACAGTTTGATGTTCTAATCGTCGGAGCAGGTAGGGGTTATTCCATGTTCGATGCATACGACAATGCGATACGGACGAAGGAACCGGTCAACTCTACTGCGACATATCCACTAATCTGTCATCATCGTCTATACAACAGGACCTTCAGGCCTGTATGCGGCTTTGCTTTTAGGAAGCATGGGCGTTTCAGTCCGAATTATTGGTATGCATCATCACACTTGAAGCAACGAGAATCTACGAGAGCTGACACGACAGATTTGTTTGTTTATTTGTATATGTAATCTTGTATAGATTCAAAAACATACGTGTCCGGCTCAGACAATCCTGCACTCCTTCTTTCACCTCACACACTACAGCACTTACAAGCGGTCGATCTTGTCCAACCACTCGTTCAAAATGGGATGCGTCACTGGCGTTTCCAGCTCTATGTAAACCAAGGTCGAGGAACCAACTCGATTTCTGTTGAACGGCAAAGTTTTCGCGTTTGGGAGAAAAAGAGCTCACAGTATAATTGGGCCTTATCGTGTGAAGCAACCGATGTCTGTAACGCTTTCAGAGACGCGCTGTACAAACGAACCGACATTCGTGTTGACTACCAGCATCGGCTCGTTCATCTTCAAGACATGACCGATCACAAAAATAAATCACAGTCTGTTGATTACCCCATTGTGTCTACCATCAAGGATCTCAGAACAGGTCGCGCCTTTTGCTGGCGCTCGCGTATGATCATTGGAGCGGACGGAGCAGACAGTCTTGTGAGACGAAAGCTCGGTAAATGCAACAAAATAATAATCTGCAAATGAAAAAATAATCATACTAACATAGGCGCACAGGTACACCACAACGTAATCGTGGTATGAGTTGTGTGGCTCCGCTGTACACTCTGCAAGTTACTGCTGAAAGCGACTTTCCTGGACTACGTACTGTTTCGGTCGTCAGGAAAGGCGAAGATTCGGTGCTGTTGATTGGTAAGGCCTACGGTTTTTCCCTTTTCTTTCAGACTCTATAACCTGTTATTAATCGAGCTCTATACGTTCAAAGGTCACCGAAAAAAGCTGTACGTTATTCTCGAGCAAAATCCCAAGTGGAGCCAGCTAGCACTTCTTGATTCGGATGACGACTTGCTAGAAGCCATCCATTCTCATGTGCAATCAATACTTCAACCGTACGATTTTCGTTTTACCGCTATCCACGAGTATCGTTGCTGGCATGGTAATGATCTGGATACATAGGTCTACTACTTGTCAATTGATACTTACCGTCGATACCATATATTGATAGCTACCGATCCTATTGTGGAGGAATACAGTGCAAACAGACGCTGGTTTCTTGTCGGCAGTGCAGCACAAGTAATCAGTCCACCCGAGCTCCTGTCAGCTAACCTCGGTCTGGATCAGGTGTACAACCTCTGTTGGAAAATCTCAAAGTACTGTAAAAACTATGCCTCCGCCCACTTGCTCGATACATATGAAACAGAATCAAGGTCCAGGACAAATGACTATACCGTTGTTTCTGATGCTTTGATGGCAATGATAACCAATGCTGCTGTTTACGAGGAAGATGAAAGGGGCGATGTGCAAAGCGGCAACAGCAGTGTAGCCAGCACGCCTATCCAGCGGCTCAAGTGGGGCAAAAGTTGGCATATTGGTGGCGTAGCTTACCCGATCAGTGACATCAGTCGATCTTCCATTCAAGCTCCTAATGGAAAACTGAAGCCATACAATGCTATGCAACTGCAGACATCACCTTTGTCGGGCCCAAGAAGAACAAGATCAACGTTAGCAGGCAAGGACACTTCCTCGCAGCTCAGCATAACATCTCCTTCAGTAAACAGCAGCACCACATCTTTCCTTTCTCGTAGTCGATCTCTCAGCAGTCTCGCCATGCGCTCAAAATCGTTCCTAGGGCTTCCTCGAACATCGACAGACAGCGTTCCGCCTGATCGATTCGACCCACAGAAACGACCATTGACCCGTAGTATAACAAGGATCAAAGCACGAGGCTATCAGCATTATGATAACAACTCGGTAGTGAGGGCAAATCATCCGGATACGTGGAGAATCATTAAAGCGAACCATTATGACCTACTTGAACGAATTGCAAAAGATGCGCAGCCGGGAGCATTCACTATTTTGATTTTTTGCAATTCACTCGCCGAGGATAGAAACTTGAAGAGTCTTCAGCAGTTCAAGCAATATATGGATACCCCTTCGTCAATGCTGCAGTATGAGCAGCGAAGGCTTCACGATAGCCGATCATCGATACCATCCGAATCTCTATATGGTACAGCGCCAGTAACACCAACAACCAGCAGCGAAACATCTTCACCACGCTCATCACTTTCATCCGGATTCACCGCTGCTACTAACCGCCTTTCGCGGTTTTTCTCAATGTGGTCCTCAGTATCGTCGATTGCTTCCTCACCCTTACCGCCTGCGCCTCAATCATCGCCACCGCCGACACCAGCCACCGCATCTCCTTTACGATTATTCTCCTTCTTGTACATCACATCCTCGACCAGACAGCAAGTCCAAGAGTTATTGTCAAATAACTCGGATTCATTCATGCACTCCCTTTTCCCGAAAGGACTCGAACGTCTATACATTGACCATGACAATCTAACGCACTCAGCATATGGGATTAATAGCAATGAGCCGATGATCGTAGTGATTCGACCTGATGGGTATATAGGTATGCGAGCGTGTATCGATCAGGTCGACCGCTTGAACGACTACTTTGATGCATTTATGATTCCACCAGTTGACCTCGATTCAGCTGCTGCCGATGTTGCAAATGATTATCTGTTTTGATTCTTACACTTTTGTAATTCCATACTCCTTAAGTAGTATTCGATATTATTCACTTTATATGATCGGAATGAATTGATTATTTATTGTATCATTACATCTTTAAAACACACATAACTTTGGTCCTGACGCCTTGCTTGCCGTTGTACTTCTCGAGAAAATACTTGACAGTATTCTCTTTATTGCCAATCTTGTCCGCCATATCTAAAATGTCAGAGCACTTGGGCAGCATGTAGCGTGTGTGAGGGTATTCCATATAGTTTCCACCTTCACAGAGGGGCGTAAGTGAAGTGTCCAATGGCGCATCAAAGTAGTGCCGCTTGATTTCATTTGCATCAGCTTCTTCCAGAGTTGGTGGATTCCAATTTGGTTTTGTTCGAGTGACGAGCGTTGCCCGCGTTCCTTCAGAAAACTCGCTTCCAGCCTATATTACATGAGTTAACGAAATAAATTCAGAAAATTTAACAACACCAGTGCATCGATAGAGAGAAGTACTAAAGAAATGTTAGCTTACCAAGCACTTGCCAGCTAGTTGATACTCCAATCGCATACAATCTATAAACGAGAGACGTGCCCCGGTATGATACAGCTGCAGCGAGATTTTCATTGATGTGGGCGACATTCCGCTAAGTCGGTCAAGTGTTTCTTTTGCCCAGTCTACAGCTACCTTTTCATTCTTGAGGGCAGCAATAATTTCTTCCATTGTTTCGTGGTTAAAGCATCTACAAAGGACTTATTGTACTTAATTCTCTCATCGCTTGTCGCATACTATTCATAAATAATGTAGTCGCATGAGTTATATTACCGATTGATTGCTGGATAAATATCGCCGCCTAAAGAAAATGGCGCCTCCTGCTCCATATCCGCCGAAAATCTTTCAATGACTGCATTGATGGCATTTTGGTCCAATGAACCTTGGCTCTGGGATGCAAGTTCTTTGAGGGCACTTTCTAAACTGTCTAGATGTTTTGTCGGGACGTAATGTGTCGCTATACCAGCATAGCTAAGGAAAGAAATTGAAAAAAAAAATATTGATGTCGTATTGGTAAACAGTTGATATGGGAGCTACTGTATTTGAAGCGTATAAAACTTACAATACATCGGCTCCACGTAGACGTTTACCGGTTAAACCAATATAAGGTCCGAGAGATCCATCCAGCCGTGGCATCCAAAAAGACGCACTGGCATCCGAGAAGAGGCCTATCGAATTTTCAGGCATCGCAAAGACAGTATTCTCCGTAGCGATGCGGAAAGGACCGTTCATTGTAAGACCAACGCCACCGCCCACTTCGGTATTAATCAGTAAGAATGTTATTTGTTTTGCACGAGAAACGGAGAAGCCCATACATAAATATATACGTACTGGTGATGCCATCGATCAACGCGATATAAGGTTTCTGAATGCTGCCAATCAAATGGTCCTTGCGATACTGTCTATTGAAAATATACGTAATATCATCATTGCGGCCTTCTTGAGCTAAATCCAGTAAAGCTGCAAACGACTTTGTCAGCGTTCATTATACGATAGGCGCTGTGTGTTTCAGTTTATCTACCTTTGATATCACCGCCTGCACAGAAAGCCTTTCCTCCGTTGCCCCTGACAAAGATCGCCTTGCATGCATCGGACTTTTCCCACGTCTGGATGTTGTCATTAAATCAACCCTTCTTGTTGCTTCCCTCTTTCTTTATGAATAACTCACTAAAAGTCTTTCGCAGATGATATCGCACATCGTGTAGTTTATCGCGTTCAGATTTTTTGGACGATTGAGAAGTATTTCGCAGATACCACTTGGGTGCTGATGTGTCAGTACTTCAGCCTATGATCACGAAGGAATTGTGATTAATAAGCACAGAGACACGCGAGAAAAAATGGTCCAGCAAAGGCCAGTTTCTTCATAATAACACTTACATCGCCATCACCTTTATTCGATACAGGATGATGGTGGGTTGCTATGGTAGTATGCTGTTGGGCAGAGAAAAATGGGTAAGAACGGTTTTTCTTTTTTGCATAAAGTGTTGTCGCAGTTTGCAGTCAGGTTTTACCGAAAATTTCGACGCAGGTGAGGAGGAAACTAGACGCTTTTGCACGGCAAGCAGTCGCTGCGCGGCAGTCGTTGTTGCACTGTGTGAACTCTCTGTTGAATTGATAGTCATACCAGACACCTTGGTCAGTTGAGAAGTGCGAATTGCAGAAGAGAGAAATCTACCCAAGAGCATAAAATTAGAGAAGATGTGAAGGCGTGCGGAATATGGTGGGAGTCAGCTTGAAGGGAGTTTCTGAGACCCAATTTTCAACCTTTATAGAAATTTCCCATCACCTGCAAATGCCACGAAATATAGCGCAATCGACAGCTTTCGATGAGAGGAACACGGTGTGCTAAATTTTATTTTGATTGAGCCATTTGTCGTTGCGCAATAACACCTCAAAGTTTCCGTATTTGGCCCTATTTGGCTGGGATACAATCGTTTTTTGCGTTCAAAGTCTACACCATTTCGCTTTGAACTAACGCAATTAGCACTTCTTCCATTTACTATCGAACCATTACTTCCCATCACAACTCCATTGCAATTCAACATGCCTAAACCAAGCAAAAGATCCCTCAAGGGAAAAGCCAACTACTACAACGGCAAAAAAGCGAAGTTACAGCGCGAAACAGAAGAACGCGTTGAAACGCGTGAGGAGCAGCCTGCGCCTGCCTCTGACGAAGTAGCCCACGTCAGCGATGAAGATATCAGCGACGAAGAAATCATTGGTGAAGACTATTCTGACTTCACCGAAGAAGAACTCGTCAGAGTCACCAATCAGGTATCCAGTGGTTTCCTTGTCTGGAGCGAAGGTGCTGATAAAAAAGGGCGTGGCACCCTCTATCATAAGAATGATCCACGTACTATTGCGAGTAAAGAACGAAAGGAGCGAGAAAAGGCAGCAGGCTCTCAGCGCATCGAAGAAGCTTTTGGATTTCAGAAAATCGAATTGAAAAGAGCTAAGG